CCAGAACTATTCAGCTGCCCTCACTGAATATTACACTCCATAATCTTGTGGGTTTAAAATTCCGACTCAGTCTTGGACCACAACTTGGGGATGCCACAACTGAGGGCATCCAACGTAAATCACTTTAATTCACCTTAAATGTGGTGGTTTGTATGCAGGTCAAAAATATTTTGAAACATAAGACGTGTTTAGCCAGTGGTCTTTGTTTAGACCAAAGCTGACCTACTTACGGAGCCCTGCACCGTTTGTTAGTACTGCAAAACCTCAAGCATTAAAAAAAGGAAGCTTGAATTTTGTCTCAGATCCTTCAATTGTTCCTCCCTTCCACCCAGATAACATCACAGAAAGCATATTCTGTTCATGTACTCTGTGGGTGTCAGTCAGTGGGGACTGGAGCTCATGGATGCCAGAGCTGCGAGACAACGGTGCTATAAATGATGTGACTCATAAGCTCTGACACTGGAAGGAAAAAAAAAAGTTTTCCTTCTTCACAACTGAAGCAAAATACCACAACTTTATGCAAGCCCCCCCCCCAAAAAAAAGAAATATTCTGGGACTGCCCAGACAAGTCAACATAAGAATCATTTTGCCAGACATACCACAGTAGTATGAGTAGATAAGGTAGTGTTTCTCAGAGATCACTAGACACGACAAAAAAAGACATGGCACATAATAAAAACATTAAACAAGAAACACATTACAACACGGACACTAATTCCCACACAGTCTACTACTATGCACAACATTAAATATAAAATGTCAGTATAGATATAAAGGGACCATTACTCAAAGTACCCGACTACTGGCTGTGAGGTTAGAATGCAACTTAGCACATGAAGTCACGTCATGAATTTAGAGACCTCAGATTGTGAATAAAGCAGATATTCCATAGTTTTGTTGCCCTGGTTTTGATGCTCCTGTGTTGCTAAACTGATGGCAGTGGTTGGAAAAGTCTATGGGACCTTTGGCAATGTTCGCTGCATTTTTCTGAGACTGGCTCTTGAAAAGATTATTGACAGGAGGTAGTGAGAGTCCAGTGATCCACTCATCTTCCCTCACCGTCCTCTGCAGAGCCCCCCCCCCAATCACAGTTCAACCACAACACACCCTTTGCCGGGAGAGACACTTGTTTCAGTTTCTTCAAAAAGGTACAGTCTAGTGGCATTTCTAGGCCAGGCAAGGTCATCACATATCTGCACATCTGAGAAACTGACGCTGAGTGGCGTGTGCTCAGGCCGTCACCTCCTGAAGTCGATGATCATCTCCTTCATCTCATCAACATTGAGCACCAGGTTATTGTCTCTACAGCAACCTGCTAGATGTTCCAGCGCCATCCTTAATGGAGCACAGAGCAACATTTTGTACTGAAATGATGGTGCGGTGTATAAATCTACTCTTGGTTTAGGGATCGACAGATATGCCATGCCATTTATGCGATGGGGGTGCTGAACTTCTGATTTTACATAGAACTACCAGTTTCCTCCCAATAAGTTAATATACAGCCTATTACAATATACATTTCAACGTTTCCAGCACTAATTGTCTAACATTAAATTAAAAGTATAATGTTAATATAATAGTATACTTTTGGTATAATATTAAATTAATTATGATGTTACTATATTCCTCATCATTTCATATAATGGTATACTATAGCTTACCACTAGTATAATATTAATTCCAGTTACAACCATGCATATTTAATTATTAAATTACTTAATTTTCTTAACTTTTATTTACAATCGTACAAGTGTGAAATGGGTCACTATCTAAATTGGCAGTTGTCTGAGAAAAAGTTGAAAAACAAAAAAGAGCTACTGATGCAAGATTTCTCGTGTTTGATCTTCAGTACCTAGCAAAACGATTACAGACATGTTTTCAGAATCAATCAGTTCTCATAACATCCCTAGCAGAAACACAAAGGAGGAACACGGCATGTAGATGTACAAATCCAGAAAACAAGCAAAAGTGGGCAGGTGTGATCAAAAGCTACAGTCCCCTCCAAAAGTATTGCAACAGTTAGGCAAATTCCTTTGTTTTTGTTGTTCACTGAAGACATTTGGGTCTAAGATCAAAAGAGGAGTATGAGACAAGAGTTTAGAATTTCAGCTTTCATTTCCTGGTATTCACATCTAGATGTGTTAAACAACTGAGGACATATCACTGTCTGTATTAGACCACAGCATTCTTAGGTGAGCGAAAGTATTGGAACAAATAATCTTAAAGTAAATAAACATTTAATATTTGGTGGCATAACCCTTGTTTGCAGTAACTGTCTCAAGCCTGCGACCCATCGACGTCACCAAACTGTTGCATTCTTCATTTGTGCCGCTATTCCAGGCTTTTCCCGCAGCTTCTTTCAGTTCTTGTTTCTCCCTTCAGTCTCCTCTTAAGGAGATGAAATGCAGCTCTGTTGGGTTAAGGTCAGCTGATTGACTTGGCCAGTCTAAACCACTTTGTCCTTTGTTTTGTTGGCAGTGTGCTTTGGGTCTTTGCCCTGCTGCATGATAAACGTCCTCCCCATTAGTTTCAATGCATTTCTCCATAAACTGGCAGACAAAATGTTTGTCCGCTTCTGAATTCATTCTGCTGCTCCAATCATCAGTTCCATCATCAATAAATATTACTGAGCCTGTTCCAGAAGCGGCCATGCACGCCCAAGCCATGACATTACCTCCACCATGCTTCACAGATGAGCTTGTATGCTGCGGATCATAAGCAGGTCCTTTCTTTCTCCACACTTTGGCCTTTCCATCACTTTGCTAGAGATTAATCTTGGTCTCATCAGTTCATAAGATTGTGTTCCACAACTTTTGTGGCTCATCTCTGTACTTCTTTGCAAAGTATGCATCTTGTGTTGTGGCCTCTTTATTTCTGCTCTGAGTCTTCTTCCAACAGTGGATTGTGATACCTTCACCCTGCACTGTGGAGGTAGTTGCTGATGTCACTTACTGATGTTTTGGGATTTTCTTCAAAGCTCTCACCATATTTCTGTCATTAACTACTGTTGTTTTCCTTGGCCGACCTGTTGGACGTCTGTTGCTCAGTACACCAGTAGTTTCTTTCTTTTTCAGGACGTTCCAAATTGTTGTGCTTGCTATGCCCAATGTTTGTCCAGTGGCTCTGGTCGATTTTCCTTCTTTTCTCAGCTTGACAGTGGCTTGCTTTTCTGCCATCGACAGCTCTCTGGTCTTCATTTTGGTTTATCCTCTTTAACAGGAAATGCAGTCTTTATAGTTTTGAACCAAGGATGAAAACTTAGACTAGTCATGCAGAGCTATTTAATGTTTGGACAGTCAATCTAAAAGGCAACAAGAAACATCTGTCAGTCACATGTTCCAATAGTTTTGCTCACTTGAAAAATGGGTGGGTTCAAACAAAGGGTGGTATTGTCCTGAGTTGTTTAACACATCTAGATGTGAATACCAGGAAATGAAAGCTGAAATTCTGAACTCTTGTCTCATACTCCTCTTTTGATCTTAAACTCAAATGTCTTCAGTGAACAACAAAAACAAAGGAATTTGCCTTACCGTTGCAATACTTTTGGAGGGGACTGTATACGTTTTAGCAACCACATGTCAGCTTGACAAAAAATCCTCATGACCGCCTGACCACAAATTTTTACCACAGAAAGATGAATTTGTGCTTGGTGAGATGGGTGAAGAGGTTAAGCATGCTTTAATTTGTGCTTGTTTGAATTGAAATTGATCAAGTCCACCTCCCTGGTGTCATGTAAAAAGTTCATTGGGAACAGTCCCAGTAGTGTTCTCCTCAACTCCGCCACTTTGTGCAAAGAAAAATACACTGGAGCATTTTTAAGCATAACTTAACAATGGGATTAACCACTACACCTATTTCACGTTACTTTATTAATCAAATTACAAACTTGCATTCTTGCTAAATGGCTGACCTGCTGCATCATGAAAGCCTATTGTATCAACTGATCTTAAAAGTAAAGGTCACAGACCTGACTTATAATGACCGCTTTGAAATTTAGTAAAGTAAGATAAGATACGAGACACAGCTGGATAGGTTTCACGCTCATATGGTCTAGATTTCTACTCCGCTTTGTCTTGACAGCAATGGCTTTGTTGTGGAAGGTTCAGCTTTATAAATTATTTTGTGACTTGATTATAAAATTAATGTTGGCTGGTTTCAGCTAATGGACAGGAAATTACTGAACACTAACCACATTCATTAGCACCATCTGCAGAGATCACCATTTAATAGCAAGGTTTTTTTTAATAGCTTAGAAGGAAAAAAATGCTACGACTCTGGTCTGATTTGAGAATCTTGTTACTCACTGGCCTGCCATCATTGTCCAAGGTGAAGATTTATTATAATGTATAAAATGGAATGGGAACTGAAATTAAAAAAAACCTGTCTGTAAGCAAAGTGATTTGACTGATTTATAAAGGCGTGCTTCTAGTTATTTTATTTATTATGTGGCTTTCTCAGAAAAAAAAATGACAAGAGGAAAGTTGTCATTGTTCTGTGTGCAGGATGCAGCTGCATGTCATCCTCCGGGAGAACAAAAAGTGATTCATCTTCTCAGCCCAAAGCTAGCTAGCTAGCTAGCTATCTATATATCTATATATATCTATATCTATATCTATATCTATATCTATATCTATATCTATATATCTATATCTATATCTATATATCTATATCTATATCTATATATATATCTATATATATATATATATATATATATATATATATAATTTTAATCTCTACCGCCACTCTTACATAATACACTGCTCAGGACAGTCCCAAAAGTCAGCATGGTCTGAAGAGGACCTGCTACTAAACTAAAGAATGTAACTCTGTGAAGGGAATCAGACAAAACAAAATGTACTGTTTGAGTGCGTTGGCTACACGACATCCTCAAGCAGCATGTGCCAGCTTGTACAGGTAAAACTGGCCATAACACCAGGGAAGATTAGTGAATGAAGGCGAAATGTTTAAATAGACGCACACTTCTTGCAGGGTGTATGTACCTCTGAAGGGATGTCCCAGGCGAGCCTCTGGGGTTGGGGTAGTGAGCGGTCCACCTCACCTTTACAGTGCCCGTCCTCGGTGTAGCCCAGCTGGAAGGCATCTGTGGCCAGGGTGTACTGCAAAAAAAAGTGAAGGATTGGTTCAGAATAATTCCACTCCCAGCCAAGAAAATAGCCCATTTAGGGTTTAGCTTCAGCGCCCGATCAGCACTTCAGCAGGCCCACATGGTGCCAGCAAACCACTTAATTTTCCATCATACTTCAGGCACCCACACAATTGGTGGGCATTTGTTCTTGAAAAAAAAACAGACAGAGTCTTCAGACACTGTATGTTCTTTCCACTATTTGCATGAAACACAGATGTTGTTTTTATTTTTTGTTTGATGTTTTCTTGGAATCTTTACCATATCCATGTACAGCTGTAGCAGCAGCTGTGGTGACAATTACAGTGTCATCATAAATGCATTTTTATTTTAGTGATCCTTCTCTAACCACAGCAGTTCCTTGGAAAGTCAGTCAAAGTGGTGATACCCCACTGTTTCACTTCCTTGACTAATGACAAAACAGACTGCGGGATAAATGCTGGTCAGCAATTTTACATTTGTGAGAGCAACAAAAGCCCATGAACAGACACAACACACCTCCCAAAGGTGAGCCACTGTTGGTGCATCAGCCCAGGAGTGCTCTGCATTCAGTCCATTCTTCCCATTCTTGTAGATCACAATGGAGAATGATTTATCAAACCACCTGGGGGTTGAGAGGAGAAAAGGAGGAAGCAGCAAGAACAAAAAGAAAATTAGCAGAGATTTGAGTAAATGAGTAACGCTCTCCCTCTTGTCTGTTTGTTGTCTTTGTCTTGCTCTCCCCTTTCTCCACTGGCTGCCTATCGATTTTAAGATCTTATCGTTTGTTTTTAAATCTCTTAATGGGCTGGCACCATCATATTTATCCGATATGCTGATTTTGCACACTCCAGTCAGAGCACTCAGGTCCACTGACCAGCTGCTTTTAGACCGTCCACAAAAGGTCCAGACTGAAAACCAGAGGGGACAGAGCTTTTTCAGTAGCAGGTCCTAAGTTCTGGAACTCTCTTCCTCTCAACATTGGAGCAGCTACTATTGAGAGCTTTAAATCACTTTTAAAAACTGGCTTTTAACACATGCTGAGCTGTGACATTTTATTGTTGTTGTTTTTAAGTATAGTTTTTATCGGTTGTCTGTTTTTATAGTTTTTGGCATATTCTGTTTTAGAAGGGTTTCATTCGGCTATTTATTACGCTTTTTATCTTATGCTGTTCTCTGTATCTGTACAGCACTTTGGGGCAGTAGTGACTGTAAATGTGCTATATAAATAAACTTTGAAAATCCTGTCACGTATAATAGGTGTGCTTGAGCTTGGTCTCCATTTGGACAGACTAAACAAAGTCACAAGAGGCAGTTTGTTTGGATAGTTTTTCCCTTATCTGAGTTGAGTGTCTAGACATAGAGCATCATATGCTGTACAGATTGCCTTTTAAGAAATGTGTTATTTAACACTGGCCTAGGGGATAAAGGAGATCAAGAATGTTTCCTATAACCTGAGTAGGCAGATAATGCCTTGCTTGATTGGCTCTGTGAGGCTGTTTAAATGCACAGCAGTGCTTTAAACTAAAAGTGAAACCTTTGTGTGACGATGATAGCATTATCTCATCTCACATCTGTTAAAAATATGTCTTAGGGGCCTTAAATGATGTGACAGGGAAAGCTAAAAACAGGTCTAGTGTGGACGCCTTTGCTGACCCGACGTGTTCACTGACCTTCCAGCTCAAGTTATTTCCCTTATGTAACTGTCCTTTTGAAGGAGTAAACAGAGACAGCAGTTTAGCCATCAGGCTAGTAGTTATCGGTGTTCTGTGTGAATCTTAAAAGACTGAAGACAAGAACTGACTGGCTCCACGAGCAACTCGTGGGTAGGCATAAATTCCAATATGACGTAGGACTGGAATGTAAACATCAGACAGACTGGCTGGTTGCAGAAAGTTGCATGTGGCAGACTGAAAACTTACTCGCTTGTTTTCCCCATCACTTTCTGCCGCTTGCGTTCATTATTAATGGTAATCAAGGTAAAATGTTCAATTAACCAAGGTCATATCGTCAAGCCCTACTTGAAGGACACGCTGTCTTGATTTGAACCAATAGACTCTTCACACATTTATAGGGGGGTGAACAATAACCTTATCTGGACACATCTCTGTATTTCTAGGATAAATATAGGATGTCAGGATAAATGTCGCCAGACAGGAGTTATTCTTTAGATCTGGTGTTGGCATTTGACTTGTTCATGTTGTATGCTGATACGGTGTCTCCTTGGCTGGGCTCTGTAAACATGCTTTGTTAAGTTTACTTAGCTCACAATATTTCTTCAACTAATCTTCCTCCATTCATTGCACAACTCTGCCAAGGCGTTTAAGGGGAATCTTTTGGAGGAAGACTTCATCTGTAATTTATGCATCTCTGGTTGTGATCTCAAGACCCCAAACGGTGTCTCAACGGCCATCGATCACCTCCTCACCTATCGTAGCATTTGCCGTGGAGCAGGGACTTGGCGTAGCGGTCCAAGTTTCCCGCAGGGTCTTCTCCCCTCATGCCTTGCTCTTCATCATCCAAGGTTACAAAGAAGGCTGCCTTCTCGATGGCATCCAGCGATCGCTTGTTGATGCCGGAGCTGAAGTACTGCTTCCTCATCTGAGACCAAGGAATCCTGGGGAGGTGGTTGATACACACAGACATTAAAACCTTCAGACTCATGATCAATATTATGATAATCGTCGGTAATTACAAATTGACAATATGCACACACAGATTAGTTACAAATGCTCTTTACAAAGAAAAGTGTCTCAAGAGCACATAAGAGTAATGAAAGGAGATGGATATTCTTTTATGATCAAGGAGAAACAGCCACATGTGCAGAGATCAAAGCACACTATTTATATTGGGTAACGGCGCCAAGCAAATAAGCCTGTTTGTGTAGTGTCCAGATGATGAATCCCACAGACCATGGCGTTCCCCTGATTTTCCTCTAGAGCCAGCAAAAGAAGGGTACATTTAGTTTTTAGAGACATGTCTCGATGAGTATTGGATGGATTCCCATGAAATGTGGTTAAAACAAAATGATCCCGTTTACAGAGAGCTGTGATTACATGGGTGATGTTGATATTCATCCAGCAGCATCACCAGGTCAATTTCAATTACTCCAACCATCTGGTTTGTGACAAAGTAGTGCTAATTTGCATGCTCAAATTTTCACATTTGAGAACTTATACACAGGAAACATGCTGGGTCCAAGTTAGATCAGAGGCAGCTGCTCACTGGTTTTTAAAGGTTGTTAAACCCGAGGTAACATTTGTGTCACTGTTCACTCCTAAAGACGAGCAGAAATTCAGAAACAGGAGGCAGGCTACCGGATGTGTTCCAAATATAACCAATACATTTATGTAATTATGTTTTTTCAGAAAGCTGAAGCAAACAGTTAAGTGGTTTCTTATCTGTCTTGTCCACCAGCATGCACAGAGCCTCATTTCCTTCTCCTAGTCATTATTCTCCTCGTTACAGAAGCCCATCACTCTTATTTTGCTGATACGAGTTCACCTTTCCTTTCCATCCCCTGACATCCTTAGTGCTTTTTTGGTACTTTTATTGTGACTCAGTGTTGATCCACTGCGCAATGGACACCAAATCTATGAAATTTATTTTCCAAGTGATGTCAAGAGAAGTCCCCTTACAACATCCAGCTCCCACCTTGTCTCGTTTTCATTCTAAATCTTTATTCATTTACATTTGATCATTTAGCTGACGCTTTTATCCAAAGCGACTTACAATTGCTATTTATGTCACAGGCCTCTGGAGCAACTTGGGGTTAAGTGTCTTGCTCAGGGACACAATGGTGGATGGGTCACAGTGGTGGATTGAACCCGGGTCTCTCACACTGTTACTTCCCTTCTTCTGTTACTCCTTTACAAAAGCAAGGAACAAGTGATAATACTCTACTAGTCTTCTAACCCCCCCAACATCTCAGATCTCAACAGAGCCATCACTCGCATGACACTCACCATATTACATGACCCTGGAGACCCCCCTCAACCCATTTTTCACTCCCACCTGGCCATAGACACAAGCCACTATATAAAACTTTTTTTCCCCCCTGTACAAATGTATTTATGTTGTATGTAAATGGGTCTTCATTCTGGAGAAGAGGTACACTCAATCACAATGAATTTAGCATGGGCTTCCTAAAATATCACTACAATCTTCACAAACTCCAGCTCTGACGTCTATTTAGCTGACGAGTCAAAAAGCAAGTGTGAGAGAAGTGCAATAATAGGCTTCTAAATGGTTTCCTGAGACTCCCTTGTTCTCTGCAGTAACCTTTTACATGCAGTAAAACAAACTACTATGCTGTTTGTCTAGGAACTTGTTTTACTTTTGTTTACAAAGTCACTGATCCTGGGATTAGGTCTTCCATTAACAATGAACTAGCAGTGATTCCCAACGTGGGGGGTGGGGGCTTCTAGACCAAGGGGAACTTCTGCAGTTACAAGAGAGCACTCAGAATAAATATTTTGGTGGGGGCTGTGTACTTTGGTGCCACCCAGTGATAAGACACAGTGTTGTAGTGTTGCCTGTGCTTTGTCCCCCCCTTCCCCCCCCATTCACTTCTCCGTTACACTGCAGTTCTTCTCACTCACTTGCCAATAATGTGCCAATGTGTTTTTATGATATTGGTGAAGGGATCCAATCCCTTTGATTTATCCAAAAATATTAAGGCATATTCACATCCAAAATTGAAGAGTTTGACTTAAAAAAAAACAACTGAAAAATCCTTTTGATTGTTAATCAAAATTGAGAAGAAAAATAAAGATACAGTGGGGTGAATTCACAAAGAATGGATTGCAGCCGCTGATACCATGAATTGCGCATCACTTTTAACCGCTATCTGCCCCATCTCAAGGTCCGACTCACAAAACATTATGAATGCAGTTGCGAGAACAAAACCTTCCACTCATGTAAAATGTTTGATTAGAAAGGCAACATTCTGTAATTATAACCATTTTAATTATGGATTAACATCCCCTGCGCTTTCATTAGATTGCATGGCTTAAAGCAAGAAGATTTGCTGTGCCTGAAATGCGTTCTGGGATTACGACAAAGATCAAGGGGGAGGGGCAAGAGCATAACTTTGTATTGAAAAGCGCTGGGGACATAGTGGCTCAGATTAGGGGTGTGACAATACACTTAGCTGACAAAACATGAGGAATTATGATCCTGTGTTCATAAGAACAAGACGAGAAAATAATGGTACACCGTTTTGAAGAAATATTCAATATGGGGCTCTGGGGGCCCTCCCCCTGAATAAATTGTGCATTAAACACTTGCATTCTGGTAAAATTATCTGCCACCACCTATAATCAATGCTTTAAGTGGAAAAAGGGCTGGTGTGATATGACCAAATATGTTATCACAATAAAAACATTTCATATCATTGGATATCAATAATTATCACAAAATCATTGTTTCTTTTAAGTTTAAAGGCTGATTTTTGCTCCTAAGTGAAAGTTTGAGAAACCACACCGTTAATACTAGTTTTACACTTCTGGTTAGAACAAACACATAATGCCAAATAGTGGATAACTTCACAAATCTGAGGGCAGAACATTCAAAACAACTGATCAAATTTTTTTCAAAAACAAGGTAACATTAGGTAAAATCTGTTTTCAGTTCCTTTTCCTCAAACAAAATAAATAGAAAAATAGAAAAATTAAGTGCTGATTTGTCTATGATTCAAATGAATTAAAATGCAAATTCTTTGCATCAAGGCTTTGTTTAATCCATATAACTATTTCCTGGCTTTTCTGAAGGGGAGGCACATAACCTTGTGGCCCTCTGGATGATGACGACGTGATGAAGTCTCAGTAAGTTAGTGAGCAAGCTTCATGTCAAAGCCACGTTACTTCATGTTATGAGTTTTCTATACAGTCTCCCTTGGCTGATATATTTTGGCGTTGAGAGTAGCAAATAATTATGATAATTACACAACGGCCCCATTCACATCGCAGATTTGCCCTAACTTGACAATCATAAATGACGCATCGCTCATGGTGACGTTTACAGCTGGAGAACATGTTGCTGCCAAGTGCACAAGATCAGACATCACCAGACAACCTTCTAAAGAAAAAACAACTGAAGACAGTTCTTCTGTCTACAGTACCCTCCAAAAGTATTGGAATGGTAAGGCAAATTTCTTTGTTTTTGTTGTTCACTGAAGACATTAACGTGTTTTATCAATGAGCATGCAGTGATGCGCCGCTGCCGCTCAAATTCATGTCGGACAAAGTGCGTCATTGAACGTGTATATCCCTTAAAAGTCCAAATATTTGCAAATTGTAACTCATAATTATTCTATAAGACAATAAGAATGTTTTGTCATTTTCTGGTGGGCGATCAAGAGCCGTTTGCTGCGGAAGTGTGCCTCTCCCCTCTTCCCTTTGTCCTGCCGGAAAACCCTCCCCCCGCCATTTTCTGAGCAGTCATTGGTGTACGTTAGAAACTCACGTTGATTTCTTTGTAACGACTGGCTCTGGAAACAAAGGGGTGGTCGGAATCGAAAGAGGAGGAGGCAAAGATGATACTGATATTTATAGATGTCATGACCTAGAAGTGTTTGTTTATAGAATTTACGGGAAAAGGTCAAGTGTCCAGAATACCGTGAGTCTACGTTACTGTTGGCTCGGAGGCATAGCGAGGATACCCAGCCTACCAATCACAGTTCTTACAGTCGGCATTTGAGGAGGTGCACGTCGGGCACACCTTCAATTAGATGCAGAGGTATAAATCGCACTTTAGAGGCACAATGCAACTCCATGACACACTCCAACATACCACGCCAGAGCATACGCCCACCCCTTTGCTCCTACCTGTCTCCAGCAGTGAGAGCTCCTAATTTGTCCTCTCCAGGTAGGGGGGCTGAAGTATCATCCAGGATTCTCTGGATCTGGAACTCAATCTCCCTGGGAGACAGCAGCCGGCCAGCCCAGTACACCCACAGCCGGAAATAGCGCCCCCTGTGGTACACCGCCACAAACTCACTGTCTTGCCAGTGCTGTAGCACATCTGTGGAGGAAGAGAGGATTATTCCATTGCCTCCTCATTTACTTATATCATCTGCCTCATCTGCTCGAACAGTAACACATTTTAAGCTTGCTAACTTTCTCGTTTGGGTCTACTGGTTACATTTATATATTTGTAGTATAATTAGGGGTGTGAGGAGATCTCATGAAATTATGAATTGAGTGAGAAGTTGTGCAGCAACCAAGTATATACCAACAAATATTTTCTCTATTCTGTGTTTAGGCGAGGCAAGGAACGTTTATTTGTATAGCACAACAACAAGGTAATTCAAAGTGCTTTACATAAAACATAAAGGCAATAGGGAAATATGTAAAAGTTTAAAAGCAACAAAATATAAAAGTTACAGTGTTACAATCAGGGTTAAAAGAGTTACAGTGCAGTGTAAGTTATCAATAAGAAAAATCTTAAATATTTAATTAAAATCAATGGTAAAAAGAAAAGTCTTCAGTCTTAATTTGAAAGAACTGACAGTTTCAGCAGACCTGCAGTTATCTGGGAGTTTGTTCCAGATATAGGGAGCATAATAACTGAATGCTGCTTCTCTTTGTTTAGTTTTGACTCTGGGGACAGAAAGCAGACCTATTCCAGACGACCTGAGAGGTCTGGATGATTCATAACGAAGCAGAAGGTCAGAAATGTATTTTGGTACTAAACCAAATACAGCAGGATTTTGAAATCAATTCTTTGACATACAGGAAGCCAATGTAAAGACCTCAGAGCTGGAGTGATGTGATCCACTTTTTTGGTCTTTGTGACGACTCGAGCAGCAGCGTTCTGAATCAGCTGCAGCTGTCTGATGGATTTCTTAGGGAGCCCTGTAAGGACGCTGTTACAGTAGTCGAGTCGACTGAAGATAAATGCATGGATAAGCTTTTCCAGGTCCTGCTGAGACATAAGTCCTTTAATCCTTGATATATTCTTCAGGTAAGAATAGGCTGACTTTGTGTTTGTCTTAATATGGCTCCTCAAAGGTCCGAGTCCATGACCACACCAAGATTTCTGGCTTGATTTGTGGTTCTTAGCGTTACAGATTGAAGTCGAGCGCTGACTTGCAATTGTTCCTCCCTGGCTCCAAAAACAATAACTTCAGTTTTATCCTTGTTTAACTGAAGAAGATTCTGGCACATCCAATAGTTGACCAGCTCAATACAGTTACTCAGCACCCGTATGGGATCATAGTCCCCTGGTGAAATGGTTATGTAAATCTGTGTATCATCTGCATAATTATGGTAACATATTTAGTTGTTACTCATAATCTGAGCCAGTGGAAGCATGTAAATGTTAAACAAAAGGAGGTCCCAGAATGGAGCCTTGGGGAACTCCACATGTCATTTTTGTCAGCTCAGATGTATGATTACCTATAGACACAAAGTAGTCCCTGTCCTTTAAGTAGGATTCAAACCAGTTTAGTACTGTGGCAGAAAGTCCAACCCAGTTTTCAAGTCTGTCTAGTAATATGTTGTGGTCGACCGTGTCGAATGCAGCACTGAGATCCAATAATACTAACACTGAAATTCTGCCACTGTCATTGAAGACCTTAACAAGAGCTGTTAATGTGACATTGTTAGCTGTGGCATCAAAACAGTTATTTAGTGCCAAGAAAGCACTAAGCTGTTGAAAAACAGCCTTTTCAATGATTTTACTTAAAAATGGGAGATTTCATATCGGCCTATAATTGCTCATTAGTGAACCGTCTAGATTTCTCTTTTTTAAGAGTGGCTTAATGACTGCAGTTTTCAGGGCCTGTGGGAAAAAACCTGAGAGGAGAGACATGTTGACAATTTGAAGTAGATCTGCCATGCATTTAGAAACATTTTTGAAAATACCTGTTTGCAGAATATCAAGGCAGCATGAGGAGGATTTCAGATGTTGTATTATGTCCTCCAGGTTTTTATGGTTAATAGAATCAAATTGTCTCATGCTATATGAATTGTTTTTAAGTGAACACAGGGACAAGACATATCCTGTTACTGACATGGAGGATCTGATTGCTTGTCTAATTGTTTGATTTTTTTCTGTGAAGGAGGAGGCAAAATCATTGCAGGCCCTGGTGGATAGAAGGTCAGAGGCTACAGACAGAGGAGGGTTGGTTAAGCCTGTTGACAGTAGCAAACAGGGCACGTGCATTATTAGTGTTTTTGGTGATGATGTCAGAGAAGAAGGACCGCCTTGCATTTCTCAGCTCTAAATTATAAATGCGAAGTCTCTCTTTATAGATGTCATAATGAACCTGGAGATTTGTTTTCCGCCACCTGCGTTCAGCTTTTCGACACTCTCTTTTTTGAGTTCTAACCAGCGTGGCATTTCTCCATGGAGATCTTCTCTTACCAGAGACCACCTTCATCCTTGGCTGGTGCAATGGCATCAATAACATTTGTAATTTTAGAACTGAAATTATCTACAAGCTCATTGACTGAGACCTGTGAGAGGGCAGGTGTTGAGGAGAAAGCCTCAATAAATATTACTCTAGTGTTTTCAGTGACTAACGTTTAACAAAGCTAATTTTAGTGTGTTTAAAACATTATCTGGCCCACTTTTTTCGACAGGCTGCGGCTGACAAGGAATTAATACTAAATTTGCAGGATCTGTTGAGTGCTTCCTGTTTTTTAACACATTCACCATGCTTTTTCTGTTACCTATCAAGACAGGGATGGAGAAGACTACCAGCACACTGGGCCCCGGCTTGTCCTGGGAAGAGTCATGAGTGCCATTTTCCTTGTAGCCTGGACCCAGCACATATCAGACAGAGCTTACTGGGCTTTTTCGTCATTGCGGAGCGGGAAGGCGGGTTGTGCGCTGTATTTGTGACATGTGTCAAACCTGGAGGACTTGGAACCAGTTGTGGAGGTGGACGGTGAGGGGGGTTTAGAGTAGAGAAAATGGGAGTGGAGCGAGGGAAGGTCTTCCATGTGATCAGTCCAACAGGGGGGAGAGGGGAGAAAGTGTGTCTGAAGGTGGGGATTGGGGGCGTAAAGATGGTGAATCCTCACTGTTGGTTTTCAGTGAGGGAGGTTGAGGTGGCTCTCCTTCAAGGTTTCTGGTTTGTTGTGTTATGTCTTCTTATTTAGATTCCTCTTGTCCTTGGCAGAGGGAACAGATGAGTGACGCAGAAAGTAAAACAGGTTGGAGCTGAACAATTTTACTCCTGACTTGTTAAGGCAAAGTCCATCTGCCTTAAAAATATGTCTGCGGTGAGGCCCAGTCATTAGCTTTCCCTGCAGCCATAACTTTCTGATTTACTCTCAGTCCTTACCCTTCTGTGTGAGGACGGGAGGTTATCCAGGTCATCAGACGGCGATCCAGGGTCCTGCAATTATGGTGAAAATCTGTTCTGCTCTTGCACACTCGGTTGTTGGGGAGGTTTGTTGCTAACTCTCCCTTTCGCAGCTGTCCACGGCTGTGTCCTACCAAGAACAGGGGTTGAAGAGGCCTGGATGATAATGCAGGCCAGCCAGTCGCATCACAAATCTCAGGGCATTGTGTTCTGCCCGTTACTCATCCTCCCATTTCCCCAGGAAATTATTTACTATAAGGCTTTGCACCAAGAGCGTTCCAGGGAGGACTCCCACTTTCAGATTTATTACCCAGTACACAGGCCTCCTGCTTCTTAGAGCGGGTTGGCCGTTAATCGGAAGGTCGGCGGCTATTCCGCCAGTGTATGAGTGAGTGTGAATGTTAGTTTCTGTTTGAGCACTTAGGCTCAGTGTATGAATGTGTGTGACTGGTGAATGCAGATGTAGTGTAAAAGCGCTTTGAGTGGTCGAAAAGACTAGAAAGGCGCTATACAAGTACGGAGCATTTACATTCACTTCTAACCTGTGGATCTGTGTTTCCAGCACAGTAATTTTCGGTAGACGTTTGTAGAAGTCATCTGTGGAGAAGGAGGGCATCTTGTTGCCAATTAGCATTAGCTATAGCTCCAGTCACTGCAGTACAGGCTAGTGCTCATAAAAAGATCATAAAAAGGTATGGCAAGAGCCTACTTTATCTGACAGTCCCAGTGATATAAAAGTATCCAAGAGCTGCTGATTTCTAGCAGGAAAAAAAAAAAAAAAAAAAAAAAAAAAAAAAGAGTTTAAGCAAGGAGAGGCAAGAGCAAGCTACAAAGCGTCTGCCCTGTAAGAAAGCACTGTAAAAATGTGACGGGACAGACATTTCAGACCCTTGCGCAACATCCACACACATTTGGATTTAAATCCTTCCTCTTAAGCCTACTGCGTTGTTTTTAATATTTAGATGAGATCTCCTTTAATACTAGAAACACTAGCTCAGTGTACAAACATCAGCTTACAAAACTCCATTTAAAAAACATTAAACTATGGGATACATCTGCAGTGGAGTGTGTGCGTGTTTTACCGGTCTCAGCTCCTGGTGTGCGAGTTGTGTTGAACATCCTCTCACACTGAGCGGCACACAGAGGGATGACAGTACCTGGAACACGACTCTGACACAGAGACACACAAACCCACTATGAATATTTATAGTTTAATGTAACGTCCTCTCATATTAACGCTGGCAGTATTTTACAGTTATACTTGCATATACAAGCATGTCAGCAGGCTACACGTTCAGAATATACCTTTAGTTTTTTGTAGGTAGGATTATTATTTTATTTTATTTTTTTTACATTTTATACATGTATAGTTTGTAATATTTACCTGATCTTGTTTAACTAGTGTTTTTTCTATTTCTTATCATTTTAAATGAAAGAATTTATATTAGCTTGGTTTTCACGGTTTTAGTGGATAATTTAGGAATACAAATTTCATGACATTTATGCCAATAAAGCATGCTGAAATGAAACTAAATGAAGAAATGAAGTTACAGCTCATCAAAACGTATAGCTAAACACGACCAACAGTCTACAGCCATGCTAACTGCTCTGTAAGGCCATCTATAGGAACAGCTGTGCTTTGCGGTCATGTCAGTATGCTAACATGTTGATGGTAAGCAGGTATGCTAATTAGACCAAAGTTGGTCTGTTTAGATGTTCACAGATGGAGGCAGCTCTAATTCTATAATGTCCTCTGTTGTCTCAAAGTCTGGTTTGAAAAATTAGCAGCAGAAAGGTGTTTGTTGTAGGTTGGGCCGATAGACGTTGACATCATCCATCCCGTTGTTTCATGGAGGACATTGCCCAACCCTAGTTTGTTGTCACATATTAAAAAAAATAAAATACAGGCCTGGCCTTCTGGTTGAGGAATGTAATAAATTAATGTTTAATCCAACCAAAACACGAGGTCTCATTAAATGAATACTCAGCTATGTAACAAACTTTGCCCTGTGGGAGATGTGTAGTTCAGATCCTTATGCAACATCTGCACTCATGGGGCTTATTGTCAGAGACGTTTTATAGAGGAGACACAACCCTCAATCACATCCTCAATAAAACTACTGGGAAAACCTGTAACAGTAAAGATGGCAGTTATCCTGCCCCTCCCACTAGAAAGCCAATAGTCTCCTTTTAACAGCCAAAGTGTGGTTCCACTGACGCTTTTTAAACCTTTTTTTGGGGCAAAGTTGTTCAACTTTTTCAGCGATATTTTTTAGATTTTACTTCTGATTCTATTCACATAGTTTTATGCTCCGATGACCAGTAAAAGTGCAGTTCTGGCTCTCTCCCCATTCATTCAGAGCCTGATCTTGATAGTTTCGCAGAGGAGGCGTTACCAAGATGGCTGCTGAGTGGCATGACTTGCCTATAGGGACTTATTTTTCACTTGGACTCCTGCTCACATGCTCTGACCCCATTTTAGCAACATGGTCTCATTCCAGACTCCAAAAACCATGCATGCAGCAACACAAATCAAACAAATGAGCCAGTGAGTCTTACCGGTTTGAGTTCCTCCCGGTTGACCTTGCGGCGGTAGAGAAGCAGGGCAGTGATGGTGTTGCCTGCCCTGGCTGCCTGCACCGGGGTTGGGGTCACATACAGAAAGTCCTGGAGAACATGCACACAGGACATTAAAATTAAAACAAAAACAGACTCTAAAGAGTAAAATGCAATACATTTCTCTTATCTATCTCGTTAAAACAGGTTGAGGAAGGACAGGTAGTCTCAGTAAAGTAGTGAGTACAGAGAAGGAAAGACAAGAGGTAAAGGTAGGTAACATAATTTTATTTAATCTTTTGTAATAGTAATGCTGTCAAAATGCAGCTGGTTACCATGCCATAGTAGTTACTGTTGACCATTAAGGGACCTCGGCTTCTCAGGTAGATGTATTCCTCCCACCAGTCGCTCACCTGGAATCAAAACAGGACATTAAAAGTTGCATTTCTGTTCGTTTGGAACAAACAGGACAAAGAAAAAAAAAAACAATACATTTCCTGCACACTTAAGGAGTGAGTGTTTCAAATAGAAAACATTGAAAAAAAACCACAAGGAAAAAAAGTTATGTTTATAAGTTAGAAACAGTCACTATAAACCAGGTTATTTCAAGGAAATGCAATTTGCGTTGCTTGTTGAGCATCTGTTATTTAGCCATTTCAAAAATAAACTACAATTATTTTCAAATCTACAGGAAGGTATTGATAAGATCACTTAAATATCACGCTTGCTGCCTAGCCTACTATTGTCACCTGTATCTTTTATTATGGACATGCAGCAAACTAAACCACTTGCTTTACACTCACACGGGCAGCAAATACAATCTGATTATTCCTAAAGCAACGATGAACATAGTCTGTACAACGCAAAGAAAAATTTGGGAGAAGCCTGTTGTTGAAGCAGGGTAAACCTACAGTACATATAGAGGAAGCTGTAAGTTATGCATAAAGCCCAACAGGACTGTTTTGTTTATTTTCCTCTCTCTGTGCATGTCAAAAATGATGGTTTGCTGAATAAAACACCACCTGGTAGCTGCTGAGTGAAAGCCAAGATTAGATTCATCGGCGATATTCTGTTTCATTAATTCACCGTCGGACACCGCTACAAAACAAAATGGCAACCAATGTGAATTAGGGAAAAGAAACTGGCCAATTTCCATCAAAAGCAATGCTCTTTTCAACAACAGAATACTGTCAGAATCAATCCAGATATCATCTGACTTAGATGTTACAGTGTAGTCTACTGTAGACTAAGGTCCTGTCCACAGTCCCTGCCTTTATCTGCTGTGTTCGATGTCAAATGGGGTTATATTACCACCTGGTGGCCTGGCACGCTCTTGACAGTGCTTGATAGCGTATGTAGTTTTCTTTTTAAATGAAGGACAAAATACCCATGTACACGTGAACTAGGCCTAAATACATTTTCAATCAACGTAAATGTTGTGTAATGTTAACGTTAGTGAAAGGCAGACGCAGGCTGCTTTCCAACGCGAACACCCGTTCCATGGTGTGCGCTCACTGGATTTCAGTTGTATTAGTAGAACAATAAAGCCTAGACTGAAAAAGGTATTTACTGAATTTTCTAAATGTTTACATCTGTCCAGCTCATCCATATCTGTGACAAGTGCTCGAGACCAGTTACAAAAAAGGAATGTGAAAAGTCACCAACGACATATTTTATTTTATCTAGCAACTCATAGTAAGCAACTTCGGCTATGAGCAAACTCCGAAATTGCCGGAGGCAGGCAGGCAATGCCCCCCTGTATAATGGCTCCTATGTGTATGGAACACACCAACAATGCTGCATGACCAACAGGTGTTATAACACAAAAAAGGAGGGTCTGGCTAAAATCCTCATGTTGGATCATCCAGCACTGACTTGTACCTTCAGTTTTGACAATCCCAAACCATGTCACCATTGGGACTGATGGATGCTCATTCTTCAAACCTATAAACCTTACAAACCTTTTACGACTTACATAGTTGGTGGCCCACAGAGCTTTGAGTTTCAGGTAGCGTTGGAGGCGGTTTCCCAGGTTAGACTCAAAGTGATTGGCCAGTTCAGTCATTCGTTTAAACTCTGGATCAGTCAACAGAGGGCGCACTGACGTCAGGTACTGTGAGTGTGAGAGAGCGACAGAGAGAGAGACTCAAAATCTGGTTCTGTAGTTATGAAATCATCATCAATTTCTGCTCTGCCGTTTAGATCATTATACACACACACACACACACACACACACACACACAAAGCCAAACAAATGTGTGAAATGTCCATGAATATATGAGGCATGAGTCACGCCAGGTTACAAAGAGAGAAAAAGTAAGATAACATGGATCTCCTTCAGCAAATAATTGAATTGTCTTTAGATCAAGTATAAGGATTAGGCTGAGAACTGGAGGGTTCAAGTCCAGCTCAGAGTGTGGACTGGTAGCTGGAGAGGTGCCAGTTCACCTCATGGCCTTGAGCAAGCCCCTGAACTGAACGCCGCACAGTAGCAGCGCCCCTCGCTCTGACATCTCTGCATGTCTTTGTGCGTGTATAATATACTTACTACTAACATTAACAAGAGCGAAAAAACATTGAATTGAATAAAGTATGTCTTCTTTATTTGAAGACTTTATTGAACCATGTAAACAACCATATCTCTGTATACACTGAGAACAAAGCAGCTTTTTTCCCCAAAACAGCTACAACCAGTCTACACAGTCTGGGAATCAAAGAATTAACAACCTAGAGGACATGAAAGGTGAAGCAGGGAAGAAGAAACACATAAGAAAGATGCTCTGCGACTGGGAGACAGGGGGCTCAGAGTATCAGGAGGATGTTGGAATTTGTTTACACCACTAGCACAGGAGCTTTGGACCACCGGGAGGAAGACAATTTCCGGACTGGGGCCTGTTCTATGTAGCCCCCTAAAAGACTCCCTGACAAAGCTTAATTTTATATTTATGTCCATTTATTCACCTGACCGCACAAAATGCCAGTGGCAATAACTGAAGATAAAAATATGGATCAACAGATCAGACACAGTTTACTCATGAATCTGTGATTGTAAAGTCACACTCTGACCCAGTAAGCTATTACAGAAAATGTGTCATACTGTACAACTGTAAAGTTTTAGACAAATATTTGACATTTAAAAAATCTTGTATTTATGAAATGTTGTTAAAACACATTAAGACTATTGCAGCTAATATTCAAACTCACTTTTAAAACTACAACTCAGACATATTAACATCTCCAACACAATAACTATGACAGGAATGTTCCAATCAGTGCGACAAATCACAATGGCTGTGTTCGAAACGGGCTACACTGCTCTCCCAGAAGGTGTCTAACAGGACAACGAAGCATTGAGTGCTGTTCAAAACGGGTCAAATGATTTCTTCCTATTGCGCAAGATGCCTTCAAACTGCCCCAGTAACAGCAAGTTTTGAAGGCAGCATCGATGGTGACCCGATGCTGCCTTTTACCCATAAACCAGCACGGCTGCGGCCGCCATATCTTTTGAAAACTTGTTAAGACTGGACAAACAAGCCGAATTCGTACATAAATATACGTTTTTAAAAGTTTAGTAGTTTTCTCACTTTAATTTTTGGAAAGCTAGCGAAAACTAAACACTGAATTATCACATTAGCCCGTTACTGTAACCAACCAAGTTTGTTCAGTATGATTTCTGAGGCATCTGTTAGCCATTTGGCATTTCAATAGCTAGTTAAGCTGATGCTTAGGGTAGCATCTCTTCCAACAGCCACAAGAGACGCCAGACGGCGTGCTGACGTCACACGTTGCCGTAAGTGCTGCCCTAGAAGGCTGTTTGAAACCAATGTTAACAGAAAAACCTTCACTTGAAAGTGATGCCTTCTGAGCCAGCTGTCCATTATGGTATCGAGGCAGCGAGGCAACTGCCTTCTGTTTTGAACACAGCCAATGACAGATGATTGTTCATTTTATCGCTTACAGCTTCATACAGATTACTTGGACTTAAACAGTGATTACTGCAGTAATGCAAGCCACGGTAAATGTTTCAGAGCAACTGTTGCCAGCCTGACAGCCTCCACAGAGTCACAGTGTTAAAGGATAGTATAGTCTATTGATTTCATTCTGATGTTCAGAGATAGTTGTGTCGGTCCTTACATTGATGACAGGTGGATCATAAAAGCAGTCATGTTCATGATCAAACTAATATCTAACCGGGATTTCAATGTTTCTAAAAGATGTAACCTTCAACATATTAATGTGTTCTGATGTGCTTTGATGTCAACAATATTGTTCACCTGACATTTGTGCCAATAAAACATACTGTATGGAACTGAACGTGTGTATGGGTTAGGGTTGTGCAAAGTCTACAAAATTTCCATCGGACGATGTCTACAATGAAACACCGGGATGGACGATGGCATCGTCCATCAGCCCAACCCTAGTAGAGGTGCGCTCATGTGTCCACTCACCCTGCTCATTGTGTCTTTGATGGCAGGAACAGGCAGGTGGGGCAGAGAGGTTTGATAGCTGTATAGCAGAGGCTTCCTGCTTGAAAACAACCTCAGCAGAGTCTGAAATAAAACCGAGAGAAACAGAGGTTTGAGACCATTTTAGAACCTTTATTAAGCTGATTATACACGGGTCAACTTTGAGTAATGTTGCTGGGCAATCTTGCTAGTGGCAAGTCCGACTATGTTTTGAACGGCTGGCGGCGGTGCGGGGCAGGTGGTGGACGGGGATTACGGTAGTAATCTTTACTCATTACCCAATTCATTCTTAAATTATGGCTAAAACCTATTTTGAGGTTAAATAAAATTTTGTGTCCATGACTCAAAAGAACTTCTGCACAGCGGCCACCGGAGGGAGATGTGATACCAAGTAAAAGCATGGCTTACCACCCAGACTTTGGTGGTGTTGGAAACTCTGCCATGCAGCTCGAACATCCACTGGTGGTAGGAGAGCAGCAGTTTGAGGCAGAACCTGAGTGCAAGGATGAGGGAGAGCCATAGCAGAGTACTGAAGACCAGCGCAGAGAGCATGGTCTGACCCTGGGTACTGAGCGAGACATGGAGACTGGACAGAGGGAAGGGGAAAGGACAATTACTCGAGACGTAAATACAACAGCATGTGCCTATTAGTGTTAAAAAGCTAAATCCAACACATTTGACAACACGTGACAATGTCTGGTTTTCAAAATAAGGAGTCTATACAGGATGGAAATAAGATTAATTAGATTATATTCACAGAAAGTATAAAACATATGACATTTGTCCATTAAAGGTAAATGGACACATTTTACTTTACCGGACCCTCTCAGGCCTCGGACCCACCCACCATAGTCTCTCCAAATCCTGTGGGAAATACTGGGGGGGACCGCCGGGAGGAAGACAATTTCCAGGCTGGGGCCTGTTCTATGTAGCCCCCCAAAAGGCTCCCTGACAAAGCTGAGTGCAAGTTCACCAGGAAGACAATCATAATGTGTTACTCATTGACAATTCTCTCCCCCCCCCCCCCCATACACACATTATAGATGCAGGGACAGTCATCTGTAAATGGTTATGAATGCAACTTGTGTTAAACTATAAAAAGTACAACTGCAACATCTGCTGGATCACAGAGGAAGTGAATTTGAGAGATTATTTTCAGAATCGCTGTGCACGTCTGTCTGTAGCCACAGTAGAAACACTTGTGCTTCACATTACCAGGAGTGTCAAGTTATCCGTTTAAATATGTGCAGTTTCCCCACTTGAAAGAGAATGTCCACTCGAAGATTTTTTTAACTGGATTCCACTCAATGACTAGACAGCTGTTTCTTTTTTTTTTTTTCCCCTCTTTTTATTCTTGCAGATTTAGTTCATTTATCTTGAGCTTCCATCAGTGCAATTCATCGTCAGCTATATGCCATTAGGTGAAAAACCTTTAAATAAACCCAAAAAGAAATGCATACTTATTTCACCTTAAAGTACGTTAAGCAACCTCAGATCAACTACACATACATCAATACATTCAGCTCATTAAGCAACAGCATATAGCACCTTTCACAACATAGAATCTCAATCATATTCAGTAAAATTAGATCATGTAATCCTTTTTGCAAGCCATTTATCCCTCAAGTCCATAATAAGCCGCAGAAAGGAGCCCACAAACAACTATCAACTGATTCATCCGTTATCACTGTACCATGCTCGTTAACCTCAATAAAGATAATTATAATGACAGAATTGTTCTTTGTGGCGATTTTAATATTCATGTTGATGACCCCACCAATGTTAATGCAACTGACTTTTTAAATATGGCCACTTCTTTTAACTTCAAACAACATGTCAAAGGGCAAACACATAACCGTGGTCATACACTGGACTTTGTTTTTACCCTGGGTGTCAGCATTTCCTCTGTGGAATTAGTGAAAATTTTTTATCAACTTAGAAATATAGCAAATATTCGATCCATGTTAACTTTTAAGGACACCAAGACCATTTTACACACCTTCATCTCATCACGCCTGGATTATTGCTACAGCCTTTTCACCTGCTTAACCCAAAAATCTATTGATCGACTCCAGACTGTCCAGAACTCAGCTGCCAGGCTTTTAACTAGAACAAAGAAATATGACCACATTACCCCTATTTTAGCTTCATTACACTGGCTCCCAGTATGTTTTAGAATTGACTTTAAAATTCTATTGATCACTTTTAAAGCTCTTCATGGCCTCTCGCCTTGTTATATTTCTGACCTTTTAGTCCCATACGCACCAGCACGTACCTTGAGATCCTCGGGCAGAGGTCTGCTGTCTGTTCCAGAGTCTCGACTGAAAACTAAAGGGGACAGAGCGTTTGCTGTCAGGGCCCCGAGGCTCTGGAACAGCCTGCCCGAGGAAATCAGGTCGGCTGAGTCAGTGAACTCTTTTAAGTCCCTTCTTAAAACATACTTTTATAGGAGAGCTTTTCCCAATCTTATTTGACTTTATTTTACTAATTTTATATTATCTTAAACGTGTATTTTAGTCTTTTCAATGTTTTCATGCTTTTATCTTGTATTGTTTTTGTATTATTGTCTTTACACTTGTTAAAGCACTTTGTAACTTGTTTTTGAAAAGTGCTCTACAAATAAATATGATTATTATTACTACTACTACTACTATTTTTACTATTATTTTTATTATTAACAATCCCCACTCAGTTTCTTTTTATCACCGCATCCGTGCTTCTACTTGAAGATCAGAATCACAAATACAACCAACTAACATTTAACACCAAAGTGACAGACCAAGCCAACTATTCAGCACAACTCCCAAGCTGGTTCGACAGCAGCAGTAATCTCCAGTAGAACGTTTGTCACATTACTCTGCAGTTCAGCAATGCTGAGACATCCAAATAGCATAAACAGAAGCCCGCATGTTGATTATAATGATTATAATTATATTACTTATACTGATATGGAAAAGCACATGTCTAATGCCTGAAAACTGGAGGTGTCACATGTGAGTCACAGGACACACAGTGTTTACCCATCAGAGGGAACGGAGAATGTGAAGAGCTTAAACAGGCAAAAATTTGTGCTTTGCGTCTATGACAACACCACGTACCCGTAACACATCCGCTCTGCGACACTAGTAGTTGTCTCTACATGATCTTTGTTTGGAGTTGCACATGCACAGTTCATAGTTAAGGACTACTACTAGCCAATCAGAAGCAGAGAAGGGCGGGTCAGCAAGAAGCTGGTAAACACGGCTTCGTTTCAGCTGCAACATGGACTGGAGCAAGAGTTATTAATCTGTAACAAAGGTATCTTTCATCCATAAAGTTTTAACTAAGCTCTGTCTCTACATCACAGTAACAACTTCATGTCCATTTACCGCCTGGAGGGTAGCTAGTGTTTGGAAGGGAGAGGAGAGGTGTGTGCTGCAACTCAGTGTTTCTCCATCGTGTTTCTGAGGGTGTGTCGGACTAGCCGCTTGGCGAGCGTTATGACGCGCAACTGGACTGGACTACAAATGAGCGGTTTTTGAGCAGTTCAGAGCAGAGTTTTCTGTGGGAGATGAGAGCTCCCTTTGGGCTGTGCTTTTTCTTCTTGCAAACATATTACATGCACAAAAAAAATGTATAACACTCAAAAAGGAGAGGGGAAAAGGGGCAAAAAGCACAATACCACCTCTTTAAACATCACAGTTTGCAACCACGCATTTCAGAAAGAACACTGTGTGTGACTATGAGCTAGACAGTGAGTCAGCAATGTTATCCAAAGCCACAGTTAGCAAAGTAGGGGAGAGTTCACCACACCCATACTGCTCCAATATGATTCATCAGCTTTATATGTAAAGATGTAATGTTTGTTTGGACCAGCCAAACTAAATCCTTTTCCTCCTGTTACTAATGCACAACAGACTGGTCTTTAAGGTGGAGCCGTTCCATTCAGCTGGCAGCATGCTCATTTATATCTCAATCAACACTGGATTTTTGAGACCGATATTGACATTTGTAAGTAAAAAAAGAAATCTAATAATGATACACGAGCCAATAGTAAGTTTTTTTTAAACAGATGCAGGTTTGTTCATGTGTTTGTTTTCCTAATTGTAACAGACATATTTTAAGAAGGACATTTTACAGTGTGAAAGTTGTGGACAAACTGCAATTTCTTATTACCTACTGGCCAATATGTACACCGATACTGATGTTATCTGCAATCTGTTAATATCCTCTAGGATATGTTTTATGAGTTAAGCTCCATTTCCAAGTATTACACAAATCACTCATATATGTGAGCTTATAATGGCTTTGCTAATGCAGTACAACGACATCAAATTCATGGATCACCAACTTCATATACAAGAGAGAAAAGAGCAGTCATCCTCCATCTTAAGCAGGTAAAGATAGTCGTCCCTGTGTGCGAGTACCTTAGCGGCAGGTGTTGCTGTATCATGGTGATGAGCCCCATGCTGGGATCCGAGCGCATGTACATCGTGGCCAGGATTGCTATGACAACAAAGAGCCAGGAGGAAGGGCTGGCAGGGTAGACTCCCTTGATCACCCTGTTCTGTTACCACATAAGAAGAAAAATAGACATTGTGATTAGTGAACATATTTCCTTTCTTTTACAATTCTGGCAAAACTGCTGAAAACAGAGGTTCCTCTTACGTCTGCTGCACACTAGAGGATTTTCAAATCTTAAATTTGATTTAAAAACGTGGGATGCCACAGACAAAGAAAGGTTTAACCAAACTTTATTAATTTATTATTATTAACACCAACACACCAGAGCATTCAGTCAAGATCCAGGACCACACATTTCTAAACGTGTACAGTGGCGAGTCCATGGACTTGCCCAAGATCTGCCTGATTATCCTCTAGTGTGGGCTCAGCGTTAGAAACAATTTTTTCCTGCTAAGAGTGAATATTTAAACTGATGATTTGCATTTTCCCTAAAGTAGCTTTAGAGTTGTTGAGATGTTTTTACAAGATGTTCGACAATAGCACCACAAATCTTATATCTTTGTAAACTTTCAATTCTTAATTTTTGGTAGTTTGAATTATGTGTGACCTCACAGCATTCGCTTACAGGGACCTGACAGGATAAGCAAACAGATTTGAGAAACTAACAGCTGTGTCTTTGTCACCCCAGCAGGGGCAGAAATGCATGTCATGTCCATGTTAGGAAATGCTCATGATTCCTCACCAATGCCATTAGGCCTTCAGCATTCAGCTCCCACAGCACACAGATTACATCCCTACACACCACCTCCTACTTATCGTATACACACACACACGGTTTAGACAAACGGCAATATAGCCAAAGGACTAAGGCATCCGATGTTATCTGCATCAGGGGTGGGGAGGGTACAACGATAGACCGCAAACTCCTCTGTGACAAACTTGTGATTTTGGCTATGTAAACAAAGGGCACTTACACTGCTAATAATAAATACTGAAACCATCTGTTACCAAATTCAAATGTGTCCAAGCTAGAAATAATAAAACGTAGCAACACAGGGCTCTAGACTTACTTTTCCACTGGTAGCACTGGTGCTACCAACTTTCTCAGGTGGTCGCATCAGCGCATTATTTGGTGGCATCCCTCTTTTTGGTACAGGTATTAATCAATGATCACTGATAAGTGGGGAGGAGCTTAGTATTTCGAGTGATGCATCGGTCCCTACAAGTTTTGTGTTCCTTACTGCTGTTGTGCAACTTCAAAGTTTCAAGCTAAAACAGTTTTGTTGCCTGCAACCATTGCCTACAATATAAACAGCACATCATACCCCTCATACCGCACCCACCTGATCTCTGGCTAAATCTACATCTGTCCACTGTAGAGGCTCTAGACACAACCTGGAGGCCAAACTAATATAAATGTGCGTGTTCGCTGCAGCACGTAAAACTTTTAATGTCCCGCCCCATTCAGGCTGTGATTGGTTGGTCGAAGAAAAGTGACACTGAGAAGCTCATTCACTTTATGAAAAGTTGAACGTTTTAACAAAAGGCACCTGATACAGCTAAATAGACAACTAGCCAAACACAAGCCTTCCTTATCTTCTCTGTGCTTTCTTTTGACTCACAGCTTCACCTCCCTCGCTGCCATCTCCCCCGCTGTATTATAAAACGAGCTGCAAAAGCGGCCGCAGAGCGACCCGCCCACCGGAATTTCTCTCTGCGCTCACAGCGGCCGGTCAGACTGTTAAACGGTATATTTTGAACGATTAGTGGCGGGGCTGGGGTGATTACAGTAGGTTGCGGTTTTAACTCGCACAGTGTGCTCGCACCTTTAGGGACAGGTTGCGCTGTAAAGCTGCTAGTGATCACCAAAACACACTCACCCTCATGCGGCTGACTCGTTTCTTCCAGGATCGTACTCCAGACCGATAGATCTGGTTCAGGGCCTGATAGGATAGCTGCAGGTCAATCCCCTCTGGCGTTATGGTGAACTGGAACGCCACTGCCTGGTGGGCCTCCGCCATCCCTATGGAAACACAAGTGAACAAAAATGTAAAAACTAAAATCACTAAATTATATAACTTAATAAATTGTTTACCGTATAGCTAAATGGGTAGTAAGTAATTTTAATCCAGTTTGTCATATTCAGCATCATGATTTGCTAGCTAGGAGTGATTGAGGGAGGGGGGCAGTGGGAGAGAGAGTTCTATACACCAGCACAGTCGAACGTGCTGGACTCCAGCCACTATGAAGAAAGAGAGATTGCTGATAAACAGCTAAAGAGGAATAGGTCTGAAGAGTATAAACAGAAGTTATGACCAGTCAAGGGCGAAGGGGTTTCAATGCTGGAAAAACTTCTGAGATCTGAAATTTGTGGGACAGAGCTTCTGAGAGAGCACTGAAGGGAGTTTGTTTGGCTGTTGAGTTGAAATATCAATCTGAAATTAATTTGAACAAAAAGACTGTCCATTTTTTTAAAAACGGTCTACATTTACACAACTTTTACCCTTCACCTTGAGAATATTCAGTACTTTACTGGGACTGTAAACTAGGATACCGGTAACCTTTTATAGTTTTATGACATGAACTGTCTAGAAAAGTACAACACAGTAGTTTTAGAAGCCAGCAAGCACCTCAGTGTTTTGGGTCTCTCTTGTATGGAAGCTCTGTGTGACAACACTTAATTTTATGTGTCAGTGGAATGTTGGAATGTTATTGTCTCTGAATCCCTCTGCAGCACCAAGAACACTCAAAACTGCTCAGAGCGCTGCTGTGTGAAGCCCTGTGTTACACAGTAGGTTTAATTAGTACAAATACTGCTTCAACCAAATGCTGAAAAACAACATCTTCATATACAAAATGCTCTTAACATTTAGCGAGTATACTGGAAATAGCAATTGCACAGTATCTGGAAACAGGAAGATCACCACAGAAAGTAGTGAGTATTAGCCATGTAGACTTTAAAAATGTCGAGCACTTTTTGAAGAACAGCCTGTGTGTCATTATACTGCTGGTTGGTTTCTTTAAGGTTGCCATGACAAATTCCTACACTTTTACTGTGCAGGGAACTTACATTTGGGAAGTGAATATTAGTCAACCTGATGAATGACATTTCTCTTTGTGTCAGAAAGAGACCCACTGTTCAGTTCAGGAAACACTGTTCACATACAGTATTTATCTAGCCCACATACTGCACTCAGATGAGAAAGTTCTGGCAAGTGTTCCTCCAAAACCTGGTTTTAATACATCTAACAATCCAAAGGATGACATCACATGTACAACATCCATGTTTTTTCCGCAGCATGTGGTTTTGCATCTCACTAATCTGGGCTTAGAAAGTTTGGACAGCAATAGTTTCCATTCAGCTTTCAGCAGCAGACAGGGTGTTCCCAAGCCAGATCAGTCACTGATTGGACAGCATCCCTGTTGGCTTGGTTTGTTTTTCAATTCCCTTACTCATTTGATTCCAGATCCATGGTTAATGCCAACTAAAAGGAATCCTTCCCATCATTATTGTGCTGCGCAATTGTAATGGCTAAATAGGCAATGACAACTTGGATGGAAACATATCTATCAGGTCCAAAAGCACAATTTGTTCAAACTATTGGTGTAACAGTACACAAAAATCTCGGTTAATTACAAAACGATTTTTTTTATAATATTATTATATATATAGTGTAAGTTTAATATAAGAGGAATATTAACTCTCATCCATACATATACGTTTTAGTGAAAATGAGAGAAATTGAGTGCAGTGTTAATAAAGTGTTAGTTAATTGGTAGCCTATAGTGCTGAAAGTCTATAAGCTCCGGATGTATGTTAGTGTTTTACACCTGGCAACATTTTCTCAACACAGACAGGAGGCAACAGGATGTAATGTTCAAAGTTCAATGACTGAAGGTCTTGTGAGGACTACGTTCTGTCTTCCATAAGGGCCCTTCATAAAAGAGGCGATTTGCAGTGAGTGGAAGCTGCTCAACCACTTTGGCCGCGGCACGAGCGCTGTTTTAATGTTTTGAATAACACTAATCAATCACCTACTGTCACGGTGTGTGGTGTGGCGAAAAACAACAGATAATGCTTTAAAATACGTCCTTAGGAGGATGTAAAAAATATATTTTCTGTCCTGACAGTGGAGCTGACCTGAGAGTGGAGCCTGCACCGGAAGAGACGCCACAGTGCAGGTCTGCAGCTAGACCCCTCTAGATGAAGAAGGCATCTGGTACGTACCGGATGATGCCAAGACAACTATACAGTTACAGTCCTATAAAAAGTAGGTCAACGCATAAGGTCTCTGAGGTTATGTGCACACCTCTATCATCTCTTCCCCTTCTCTCTTTCCAGCCAAGCAACTGATTGCGGCATATTTCTCACTTCCCACAGTTATTTCACACAGCAGAGAGCGAAAAGACAAAGTGAAAGAAAAGAGAATGAAGGTGGGAGAGAAAGCACAGTCGCACAGTCGCTGATACCGAGACGGGGACACAGAATGTTTGTGCACTTATGAGGACCTCCAACATTATTTACATTCACCTCGAGCCATTTTTCAATGCCTAAACTTAAATTCCAGTCCAAAATAATCTAAACCTTAACCTACTTCTAACTTCAACTAGTACATTAAAGAAGCAAAGACTGGCCAGATCAACTTCACTTTTAGATGACCTCCACTCTGACCTGGGAACTTTGTATAGATCCCAGCCCAGCCCTCATTTCCTATTCAGGAAGCCAGAAATGATATCTCCACTCTCTTTTTGTAAAATATTAACCAAATGCTGGACAGAAGCATCAATGTGCACCAATATAACTGCTAAAACGTTTGTAGTTTTGGTTCATGTTGCACAAATTGAGTATGGAGATACCTCATTTCTGGCTTCCACCTTTATTTAGGAAGATTAGGAAAAAATGTCTGCTTTTTAATCGTGCAACAGATAAAATATTTTTATATCCAGATGGTTAGTAGAGTCTTTGATGATAACTTGAGGATGACTTCTGAGCGGCGGCAAGTGTTGTGAAACAACCGTAGACTGTATAAAAGAAGTGGACGTAGTCACTGTGACATCACCCATTGGTTTGTAGACTACGGTTTTAAAGCCTTGAGTTTTTGAGCCGTCGCTGACTTGGTTTTTTGGAACCAGACATGACGATATATGGACGAGGCGGTGCTAGCTACTCCATGATTCATGTAACTTTGATATTAACTGTGATGCTAATTTTGGCTAGCACAGGCTTCAAATTAAATGTACTCACCAGAAATATAAACAGGTGACTCCTAATAAGATTTTTCAAAAGGTGCGGGTTAAATTTACACAGTGCATGGATATGAATCGCCTCTAACCTCATCGCCATGGTAACAACTTGTCATTCCCAAGGAAGCCCCGCCCTAAAGCATACCTTGCTTTATTGTTTATTTTCCTCTTAATGGGATCATAATTTACTGAATGATCATCATGTTGTGTTGAAGCAATGAGACCATAAACTCATTAGGGAAAGTGTTTACTGAGGTAATAAAGCCAGTGGAGTCGACACCTGATGAAAGTTAGAAAGAATGCAGGTTTTAGGCACTTCTGCCTACCTTCTGAGATTTTCAAATACTGTTGGGTATATATTTTATGAATATCTGAGGCTAGGCTCTGTGACTGAAATGTAATGGTATTTACATGAGACCCAAAATGGAGTTTAACCAAATCCAATTAAATATATAATTATAATTTGTCCCAGAGGGGATTTTGATTTCTGGGTTTGTTGGTTCAGTTTTGCTTAAACTTTTGCTATACATTGTAATTTCCCCAAGAGTAAGTCAGCGTTTCCCCTGTATGCATTCAGGAGCAGCGGTGTGCCGCTGCTGAATTATGACCGCCGCTACTAAAATTTCACACAATTATTATATCAATGCACTACTAATTTTCACTCACACACTATGCGAGCACGGTAATACTCATGGCTTGGCTCGGCTCGCTTCCTCTCCTCATTCTTTAAAGGACATCTAAGTGACAGGTGCTGTTATAAGAGCAGCGTAATGCCGAATCGGGAGGTGTATAGTAGGGGGGGGAGAAATAATCTATTCTTAGATGCATCGCGATGCGGACATGGAAGATTATGAATTGATTAACAAATGTCTAAAAATCGAATCTTAATTGATAACGTAATGTTGACGTAACGCAAAAAGCGGAACTTGCAGAAGTGCAGCGGCCGGACCGTATTAGGAGCGCATACAAGAGACCAGCAGTGTTCGCCTGTATTCGGCACACCAGCGCAGCGGAATGAATAACCACCACACTAAAATGTCACACAAACATTAATATCAAAGTAATGATTTTAACTTGCACACTGCGAGCATGGTAACTAGGGCTGTAGCTAACGATTTTAGTATTCGAAGCTTCTATAGATTATTTCAACAATTCATCGATGCATCATTAAGTACTTTTGCTTGGCGAATCCCCCCCAACCGTAACAGAATCAGCTGTGCATGTTTATAGGTGACAGATATTTATTAGTCCTTTCAGAAATTCATAGTGTGTCATACAGCAAACATTAGACCAACAACCAGACAGCTGCTTTACCAACATCACCCGAGTGCTATACAAGTTGGACTAAAGGCTCGTGCAGACTACAAGACTTTCAGCGTCGGCCGATGGCAGTGCCGTTCAGACTACACAACTAACCATCTTTTGACGGCAGTCTTGAAGTCGTTCCAAACCACGTTTTGAAAACACATGTGAAATGTGAAACGAGCAATCCTGAACATCACACAGCTGTTTGTTATTATAAAGATGTCAATTATAAAGACAAAGAAAACGGGTGAAAGGATGGATTAGCACACGCAGGTAGCAGGAGATTGTCTGAGCTACAGAGAGAGCTGGAGGTGAGTAAAAGGTGCAGCTCTTTTCAGTTGAGGACAGCGGCTTACTTTGGCTAGCCTTCAACTCAATCATGATTTCAGTTAAATGCTAAAGTTGCTGTTACCTTGGCTGTGGTCCGCTGGCAGAACACCTTTTTGTTCAGGTGCCGTTGTGCTGTTGCCAAGGTGACATAAGGTGACATTTTCTTTAGCTTGAAATAATCCCATAATCTCTTTGGACACTTTCTTCTTTGTCCCACACCATTTTCCTCTCTTCCTCCACTTTGCAAACAGCGGCATCTCAATCACGTCGTGTTCACAGCATAAACGCGACGTGCGGCAGTAATAAATGTCCCTGTGAAACACTGTGCTGTATAGTTACATGGATTAAACGAAGCATTTTATTAATCGATTTAAATCGAATAGTTTCAGCCCTAACCGGTGCTTGGCAGCTCTCGGTGAATCTTGTGTGTGAGGCCGAGCGAATGAGAGCGAGCGAGCGACAGAACGTGACGGTGAAAGTAAGCGGAGAAATATATTAGCAGTAAGTTTCAGTCTGCAAACTAGTCCTTTTAAGCTAATAAATCTTTTGGATTTTAATGCGCAAATTAAATGCTTAGTAATTATCCAGGGATCCTGTATAGGAAAAAAAATTATGCATCAAGATGCATCGATAATTGTTTTATAATCAAATCGCAGCCCTCTGAATCGTAATCAAAACGTGAGGTGCTCAGATATTCCCCATGCTGGAAAATTGAAGCCGGTTTTCGCTAGCTAACATCCCCCGTCCTCTTCAGACGAGTAGCATTTGCTGCAGTACCGGAGGCTGCAGTTTCAGAAACCGGAACAGCAATTCCAGGACCCTTGTTTACTTTGATACTGCCAGCTAGCTGACAGGCTAGCTAGTTAGCCCCCCGAAGCCAATTATCCTTACCACAACCACCACCGAGTGTGTGCCTAAACCTAAGTTATTGATTATATGCATATCGACCGGTTAACCCTACAGCTGCGCACATCGGCCTGTCTGCTAGCAGACAGTGTTAACCTCCTTTGTGTTGCTGTGTATTATCACCACCACTCCACTAGATGGCGCTGTCGCAAAAGAACTAGGGTCCTAGAACTGCGGTCCCAGGATTGCAGGGGTCCTGAAGCTGCAGCCTCCGGTACTGCAGCTTCATACTATTGTTTCAGACTGCTAGTGATGGGAAAAGTCACTGTTTTGAAAGACTCGAGTCACCATATCTCGTTCATTAAAATGAACTAATCTTTTTTTTTTGTCATTTCATTCATTTTAACTAGGCTGGTTATTGGTGCTGCAGCCCTCTAGTAGGCGATTTAAAAAAAACAAAAACAAAATAAAAAGCACAGTTCTCAAACACAGAAGGCTGCCTGGCTTGTAGTATAATGCACAAATTCACCTCTTGATCTTTCTCCATCATGGTTCTATAAAGCCCCATGGAGCCACAAACAAATTCAAACCATGGAAAAACCACAGAAATATGTTGTCAAAATTAACAGACTTACAGGGAATATACTGAAGCAATAAGCTTCACACACACTAGATGAATAAAACACATTTATTATAAATTTAATAATAATCTCAAACACTGCAGGTTGTTCACCAGTAAGGAGCTGTGAAACAACAGCAGGGCTCTGTCCATAAATAAAATGTAAAAGTTACATTGTGTTCTCTGGCGGACCGGATCAGCTGTTAGCTGTAAACAAACCACAGGGCTAACGCTGCTATGTGGCTGTGTTTTAATGGTTTAATGTCCGGGTCCGTTTGTTTTGGAGAGGAGACGACCTCTGTGGTAATTCAGCTCCCGGTAGAACCCTGTCAGGGCTCTGAAGTGAACCCAGAACAACTCATCAGCTGTTAACTGCAAACACTAGCTGGACTAATGTTACGGTGCGGCTGTGTTAAAACTATAACTTAGCACAACATCACTGCGCTGTAATAACGGTATGCTTTATTAAATGTCACAAAATTATCAAAATAGATATTAGATGTCAGTCCAGTGACTGTTACCTGACAACACACTTGCCTCTCATTCCCCGGTGCTGGCAGTAAGTCAGTCTGCTGAGTGAAGACAGACTCCCACGAGGACCCATGTGAGCGCTGAACGATTAGTTCATTTCTGCTCCACAGTAGCCGAGATGTCACGTGACAAATGAACGATTCAAACCCAGAGACCCACAGTTGAGAGTCGTGAACTAATCAATTCTGTTTCCTGTGCTGACTGAGACCTTGCAGCTGCTGTGTAACGAGTGAACGTAAGAGTGCAAGACTATTCACACGTGTGAAAATTACCAAATTACTACTCCCTCAGACAACTAGTTCCTCCTGAGTCACATACAAGATTAGGTCAAATGAACAAAACGTTCTTTGAACGACACAACACTACAGACCGCGCAGCTGATCAAGAAAGCTTATACAGCAGGCTGCGTCTTTAGCTGCTATGTAACTTGGCATTAGCTCAATTTATAGAAAGTAACTGGTAGCCAGGGACGTGCACAGGGGGGTTGCTCTGGTTGCCCGGGCAACTGCCCGTTTGCCTTTCCTGACTCAAGTTGCCCTTCCGACTCGCCCTTCCGAGAAAAAAAAAAAAAAAAAAAAATAATCGCGATCGCAAAGCCTCATTCACTTCCATTCGGGCACCGAAAGTGAAAGTCAGTAGGGGAAGGGCAAACTCTGTTTAAGTGGCTGCACTGCTGCAGCGCTGCCTGCACGTCAGTCGATTCTGTTCCCTACCGGAATTCCTGTTTCCTTCCTTTATGCAATCATACTACAACAAATCATGCGTAGTTTTGCCCAGTTACGTGATACGTACCAACAGAAGTGAATACGAGCTAGAAGCGCAACTGAATGTACGGGAAGCCAAAAGGTTAAAAAAGGATTGTATTTTTTTCCGAAATCTAAGCGTTTTTTTATTTAATATTTTATTAGAAGCGAGTTTTCCCCATCTGTCAATTCAATCTAGATTATTTATTTTCAAATAAAAAAAAAAAGGAAAAAAAATAAAAAATAATAATGATTAAAAAAACAATAAACAATAATATAAGGAACTCTTTTTCTCATATGTATTTTGGTGACATTTATATTGTTAATACATTTTGGATACTGTGTTTAGTGCCTTTTTTCAGGTCAGAGCAACTGCCCTTCAAAATTCCTGTGCACGTCCCTGCTGGTAGCTGTATTTTATTACTACCTACTTGTCCAATGTTGAGAACATCAGGCACAAACTGATACTAAGCTGGTGTAGCCTACAGTTCTGTCCAGTACAGAACATTCATCTAAAGCTCACATAAAACTGGGAAAACACTAACATTTTAAGCTATTCTAAGTGCATCGCATGCTCATGGACACAACAGCAATGCTGCTGAGACACGTTGTGTTGGGGTTTTATATTCAGACATACGCACAAAACTTTTTTTTTTTTTTGCTTCACCTCCACTGCTACTCTATCCTAGGGGGAAACACTGAAAGTAGCGATAAGAATGAAAACACAGCATCCAATTGAAGATAAATGCAGGCGTCATATATCAAAGAGGGTCTTATCTCTGCTACAACATATGTCAAGGTATGCAGTAGAGGTTGGTGAAGCAACTTTTTTCTAAATTGTCTAAACAATGTTGCCGAACAAGTCTTACCTGCCGGGGAGGAACTGCAAGTTACCGCGTTCAGACAGGGGGGCGGCGGGAAGAAAAGCGCGTGCACAACCTTACATTGTTTCTAACAAACCAAAAGTTTTCTCAAATATCTGACTAACGCCATATATTTACGTTTGCAGTGCCGTAATTCGCTTATGTGCCTTGCTTCTTGAGGTAAATACACTTTCAAGTTCAAGGAATATTTTTATTTGAAGGGCCAGGCTGGGTTCTACCGTTAAATGCGCAACATAATATTTACTCGTGCTCCGTCGATGACGTGCACGATTTTCCATTAAGAAGGTGGTGTCAGGTGTCAGTGTGTAGTCATTCCAAAAGGTTCGGTTGTTTAACTTTAGCTGAAGGCTATTAACAACACACAAAGTAACGTTAACTATTTCTCAAACACCCGCTTGGACTCGGCTGCGCCCAAACCATTAACGTTAGTTACTCCATCCTGTTCCTGTATGGGCAGACAAAAAACACCCACCGCTACAAACAAATACAAACCAGAAAATCAACGCACGTGTATACTAACTCCTTGAAAAGTGTAACTTATTTGCATATATGAACTGTAGCCTAGTGTTATATCACACAGTGGTCCTTTCATGCTCAGCACCATCCCCCTCATGTAATGAAGCAGACCGAGAGCAAAAGCTCCGGAATACATATAAATTGAGAAAAACTCGGACAGCATTTCGAAGACTTTTGATTAAATGCGACAAAGTTTACCTTAAGTGGATTTCTCGGAGCTTTCTCGGTGTGAACGCTGATCCGGGCAAGTCCGTTTGCAACCCTTCCCTTCCCTTCCTGTGAAGTCTGCAACAGCTCGAGCTCTTCCCCAACAAGTCACCCACTACCAGTATAGCGGACAAAGATAGTGTGAGCCGAGAGGAGCGAAGAGGAGGAGGCAGCTGAAAATATGCTGTGGAAATGTAGGCGTTAACTTCGACCAAAAGTCCGTGGCTATGGACCGTTGTCCATAATACAAAACAAGATATGATTGAATTAAAGCCCCCCTCCAGTGTATTTTGACATTTCATGTTTTTCTTAATCATTTCCTTACAGTTTTGATTACCTTAAAAATTAGGTAAGAGAATACAACAGAAGCAAACAGTAGCACAGTATGAATTATATGACATAATATAGAAATACAGTAGGTTAACTAAGTTACCAATAATTGTACAGTTGGACTGTTTAACTGTTTTGTAGTATGGTATATTAAAAATAAATAATAATAATAATAGTAAAAATAGCCTTATAGTAATAGTACTAGGCCTACTACTAATAATAATTATGATAACGACCAACTATATTTTTTTTCTTTCTACAGATGTCATTTTGTTTTAAATAATGGGACAAATTCTGAAACTAGTTCACTGAACTGTGAAGTAAATGCATATGTAGCCCACTGCAATTTATCTGATCATAACCTTTTTTTAATACAGTCTACGATCGTAAGATACGGTTTGTTCCTTTGAGCTTTGTTTTAACACCTTCAATTTTACAAATAAACACCTCTGGACAAGAGTGAGAGCTCTTCGTTTTCCACTTCACTCTGCTGGATGATACAATGACGTCAGTATACAGACACGCCCACATAGAGGATAGTAATTTAAAAACAGGTAGGGCCTACATGAGGTCCAATAGGGAAACCCTGTAATTTATTTTAATTTTGCGTCTTTTAATGTTCCAAAAGTGTTTTCACATGTTTTAAATAAATGGAAATCTTGGAGACAATGCTTTCAACGTGGCCAGGATTTTAGAGTTATGGACCTCCGGAGTTCAATCAGGAGTCCAAATTCCCCCACTGCAACCCACACACTCCTTAAAGAGTTTTTGACTGGACATCAAAAAGTTTATAAAATGTTCAGATTGAAATTTTTGGTACTTCAGTTATTAATTTAACTGTTAACATTATATACTCTGTAAAATTTCTCACACTACATGATGATCTAACTGCTGTTTGTTACTCCACTGTGTCAAAACATTAGCACATTTAGGATGTAGGAAGTTTGACATTTCATATGCTTTGATTTGCTTTATTCCAGAGAGTTAAATAATAACATACCACTCTCATGTCTGTACAGTAAATTCTGCCAGTAGTCGGGTCGCTTAGCTTAGCTCAAAGACTGGAAATGGGCAAATGGCTAGCCTCGCTCTGTTCGTTTGTATAAAAAATATCCACCAACCAGCCCCTCTATAGCTCGCTACGAGCTTTACTGCTAGCAGTAGATTCAAGCTTACTGTACAGATATGACAGTGTTTTTCCCAGCATATTTCCAAAAAAGTACTTAGATATTGAGTCTAAGTAATGCCAGAGCCACACCCTTAAGGTGTTACTGCAGAATATAATCTCCCAGTACCCCAAATTCTATAGAAATATACCAAGGACATGACCTCACGGGTAGCCATGGCTTTGCTCTTGAAGTCTTTAAATAAACCAGGACACTGACATATTATAGTACTGATTTTGCCACAATTCAAAGTAAGGGTAATTACTGAACATTTTGTAGTGTACCATGAAATAGAACACAAACACCTGTATTTCCACTGTTGTTTATTGGTCAGTATTTTTCACAGGCAATAATAATCATTGTCATAATAGTGCACTTTTCCTTTTTTGTAATTATACTACAGACATTTCTCTTCGTCGTTGCCGCCATCATCATCAATAATTGTGTTAGCAGTTTTCTCGACCCACCCTCCCCCCCACACCTCCTCCTCCTTTCTCTCGAGTTTTTCTGAGGTCACGAATTCCTCCAGAGTGAAACTTTTTCTACTGTGTGGAGTGGAGGTTCACAAGATTTGGGGGGTTGGTCATGGGTGGGGTGTGGCAGGTTGGGGATGGAGGTGAACATGGGTGGGAGACAAGAGATTATAGTCGTACAATTCTAACTGCAGAAGAAGAATGAGCAATAATAATGAGAGGAAGAGTTGGTACGGTGACTACAGTGTCGATAAAAGATAGTGAATGCTACATAGATATGGATGGCATACAATGGAGACAGAGACAGGAATGCAGTGTATACAAATGTATACAGTATCTGCGTTGAAGTATACAGCGTATAAAATGTATACAAAGGGAGGGGAGGAGGGAATGATTATATAAGGGGATGAGATATGTGCAGCTGGGACAAGGATGGGTGTGGAGCAGGATTCAAGAGACACAAAGAGGAGGAATGATGGGGGGAGTAGAAAATGTAAAGTTGAGGGGGGAGAGGGGGGGTTAAAGGAGGATTGAGGGAAGGAGGGGTGAGATTTCTTTCAATAGGAGAATTTTTGCGAGGGTGGGAGTCTCTCAGCCGCAAACGTGCCGAGGGTCCCATTGTGACTATGAATGGATTAGATGCAGAGTTTGCTCAGAGTAGAGCAAAGTTCCAGCCTTTCTTTCTGCCTTTGCCTCTTCACGTTTCTATCCTTTAACTAACTCCTTTCTTTCTGAAAGTGGATGTAAGGTGAACTTGACCCTGACCTTGAGTGTAAAATAAAAAAAAGGAGAAAAGACTATGACTTAATGCTCTCTTTTGTGTATGTGAATATGTGACTTTAAACCTCCCTGACCTTTGACCTTTCAGATGTGTGCCTCACTTTCTTCTCACTTTGAGCTGCAGGATGGATAAAGAAATCCTGTGATTAAATGAGAGGGAGAAAACACATTTAAATCCACTGTTAAACCAGCGCAGGCTGAAAATCTTTGTTTGTGTCCGTTGAGGGTGCTGTGCCACTTAAAAGTGCAAAAAAAAAGAACTGTCACATAGTTTTTCAAAGTTTACCAAAATGATTAGGACACCATGCAAAAACCTCACCGATGGCAATGATGCATGTATAATTAAAAAATCTGTTTGCATTTGGATGTTAATCCCTTGATTAAAATATTCTAGGACGTTTAAGTACAATTTTCCAAACACTACAAAAAAAATAACTGCAAATGAATGTTGTTTATTTCCATTGTTGTCCAGCTGTGTCAGTGTGCAGAGTGTGTGAAGAGACTATAAGATATGGTTTCAGTGGAGTGTTGGTTTGCATGAAAAAATGTTTCTCAAGTTACGGACATGACCAGGAAATTCATGTGTGTTTGCAGTCACTATTCATGAATTATTTTGCACTCTGAACAAGACTAAAAGTCTACAGCTAGCTGCTCTGTAAGGCTAGTGGTAGTTTGAGCTAAATACTAAATTCAGTATTGCAAGCATGCTCACCAAGACAATTATAACATGCTGCTGTTTATGTTTGCCATGTTCACCTTCTTAGTTTTACTTGTTAGCATGCTAACAATTTCAAGTTAGCTCTAAACACAAAGTGCAGCCAAGGCAGGTGGAAATATCAGGTGTTTGGTCATAAAACAATGTAATGGACAAATTTGAATTTTGACCTGATGATGGCGCTAGATAAAAAAAGTCAGAGGACCACCCATGTCTAATTATTCTCTGGGGATCACGGATGTAAAATTTCATGGCAATCCAGCAGAGATATTTCAGTCTGCAAAGTGGTGGACCAACCGACAAACCTATTTGCCACGTCACTAGCCTGGTTAAAAAGTCTTTGAACTAATTCTGTAACATTCGAGCAGCTTTGCATCCTGATTTAGGTTCCAATTACCTGAATAACACCCAAATGAAGGGACACACAAAACAAACTGATCAAATGCCTGAAGAAGTGAACGACTCAGCACTGATAAATATCTGGTGGTAGAGGCTTTTGTTCTAATACATAAATGTCCACATTAAGTTTATCTCTCACTGTGTGTGTGGAATCTTCATAAAATGTGAACACCAAGGGTAGCAAACAGTGAAAAGTGAAAAAAAAAAAAAGCTAAAAGGTACTTTTGCAGCAACAATTTTCAGAATGTTAAAGAAAAAGGAGAGGAGCTGTTTTATAGGTTTTCTCAAGGAAAGCTGGTTTGCTCTGCAGTGTCAGACATCTTTAAAGTGACATTTCCCTGTCTTCACCCATCTCCTGCTTTTCGATTCAGGAAAAAAACATGACAAGTAAATAAATAGATAAATAGATAAATAGATAAATAGATAAATAAATAAATAAATAAATAAATAAATAAATAAATAAATAAATAGATAAATAAATACATGTTCAATAAATATATGAAACAAAAATATGTTTACACTCTTGCAGTTTTTTCAAAAAAGCTTTTGACATTCACATGGTTAGTGCCGCCCTCTATTTTGCTGGTGGCAAACACATCATCATTTAAAAAAACAGAGAGAGAGAGAAAGCCCAGAGCAGAGTAGAAAAAAGAAGGTATGGAAAGTAAAAACTAAAATAAGCAAAGTTTCATTCTTGATGAAGTGGGCACTCCCCCCATCCCCCACCTCCTCCAGGCAGTATGGGCAAAGAGTTTTTCTAACAACAGACACACCCGAGTCCCTTTTTCTTGCTTGCTTGCTTTAGTACATTATCTGTTCATCTTCACATGCCTCTCTCTCTCTGTCCTCCCTCCAACTCTCCTTTCAGAGAGGCAGAACGGAGGGTCACGCTGCATCGTTCCGCATTCGTTCTTGGTAAACAAAAAGGAACATAAGAAGGGTTTTGGTTGCCTAATTGTCGGACTACAAACACTTGGTTGTCCTGTTTGACCAGCCTCTTTTTTTTTAAATTCCAGACTTCCATCATCATCTATCTTCTATTACTCTAATTTCATGGAATATAATTCTCCTCTCAGTTAAAGGATAGGTTTGGACTTGTTTCAAGCCTTTCATACAATATTCACATGTCTACACTAATATTAGAGATGTCGGACACTGTAATTATTCCTCCTCTCCATACTGGCTGTGGAGTCATCCCTTCTTAAAGTGACTCCATTATAAGATATAGGAGACAAAACCACAGTGAAAAAAAGTTCAGCTGAAGTTAATATGTGGATTTAGTTTCAAACCGTAATTACAGGCAGAAAAAACAGCTGTCGGAAAAACGTCTAACTGTGATTCAGAGTTGGCGGTATCAGGAATTTACCAGTAGTGTCATCTCCCACTTGCTAAAACTTACTAGCTAGAACTACAGAAATGTCAGCAGACTGCTGGCAAAAACATGAACACTACTGCTAATACCGTAGATTCAGCTCATTTAAGAGCAGCGTTTTGTTTTTGTCTTGTTTCACTTGTTAACAAGCCGCTCCAAATATGTAACACCGCAAAAGGAACAAAATTAGTCTATTTATATGATGTCACTACAAGGCTAGCAGGGCTGGTAAACATCTGGAAATAACCAAATGCAGGATGATTTTCCCTAATTTTTCCCATCATGCCATTGGTTGAGTGGTGCATCTTTCTGCTCATTCATGTCATATGGGTAAAACTGATAGAGATGTTTATGACTTATGACAAACCTTGGCTGACATTTTGTTTGTTTGCCTGTAGTAGAAAACTTTGTAATATACCCTTGCTTATATAGATGGTATTGTGCTACTACTATATAAAATAAGCAGAGTATCCCTTCTGCTACAGCCCTATGCACAACACTTGACAGATCGGCCATGCCTAGTTATTGCTGTTAAACTATGATGGGAGGCCTGCTATTCGGGAGAGGAGTTTAGCAAATGTTAGTGAGGCTAATGGAGGCTGCTGAAGCTTCATATTAGCTTAGGCTAAACATTAAAACGCAAGGACTGTGAATTTTGTTCTTTTATCATTCATAGTAGGGTTGCACTTGGAAGGGATTGTTTCACAGCCAGTGTTTACAGGAGAAAAAACCTAAAGCAAAAAATGTCTATTTCAATGTGGCCTACATATAGCACATGAATGTTGTATTGAGATAGACTAGAAACAGTTTAACAGATCTGACTTTCATTGTCGTCTCTGAGTTTTCTTAGGTTTTGGACTACTATTTTTTTTTTTTGTTCTTCCTTTGCTACCAAAATGGACACCCGTTACTGGCTATCCTCTGTTTTATCTCTATCTATTCATCTCACTCTCTTCCAGTGGGCGTTTTCACTTCTGAGACATTCTACCTGTGGTGTGACTAGTGTCCTCAAAATGGGTTTAAATCTAACTAACTATCCACTTTTTTTCTCCTCCGTTAAAGGCAATATGGTATCATAGCTTTATCAGTGTAATTCAGAAATAATTGTGGGACTTTATGCTTCTCGTACGCTCAAGGAAAAGTTGCGTGTTGTCTGTCCTATTTTGATATTCGCTAACTGTAGGGCTATATTACGTAGACCACATCAGATCCATTCCCCGCCATTTCTTTGCATGTTTTCCTCTGCTCTCAGACTACTTGATTGTTAACGGGTAGCATGAATATTGCCTACTATCTACACCCTAACAATCAAGTCTAAATCAAGACTCTTCTTGTTATTTTGTTGCTTTCTCAAATGACATCCTCATTTTGTTGCTATGCTTGAGAATACACAATTTCCCCTTCAATTAGAAAGTGAGAAGAAGAGAGGAGAACGGGCTTCCAGTCATGTGACTCATCATGTTTGGTCAGGTGGTCTTGAGGAGGCTTGACGATCCAGGTGACAGTTGGCTGGTCAGAAAATGATAAGAGAGAATGACTTAAGGGTCTCTGTTATTGGCCAGTATCTTCCTGCGCCATTTTGACGGACTGATGGGAGGTTTCCTGTTGGATATGAACTACGTGTTGCATGTGATTGGTCAGTGGGAATGTCATGTGCTTTCTTGATTCGTCGAAGTGGGCGAACTATGTGTTTCCCTGGCTTTGAGCTTTTCCTGTGTTTCTCTGGTAAGGTGGGACTTTTTGGACGTCCAGTCTTTGGACTTATCACTTCCAGGGTGAAGCGGCCCTTGAAGGCTGACCAGAGATCAGTTCAACCTGCCTCTGTCATCCCCACAAACATACATTTCTGCTAAAATCAGCCATTTATGGGGAATTCTCCGCAATATCCCTAGATCAGCTTCAAGGAAAAACATTCCTGTCCTCTATCCCATTGCTTTGGAATAATGGTATGAAGCAAGGCAGGAAGGAAGGAAATAGTGGAGGAAAGGACTGAGGGAAGGAAGAGAAAAAGGCTAGGCAGATGACCCTCGCCCCTCTTCCACAACATTCTTTTCAGGGATGAGATTGCGTCCCGTTGGACGATGAGAGGAGTCTGGTCTTGTCCTTACCCGACCCTCGCCTTTGTAAGACGGCCCCGGTGCTGCTCCCACTTCCGCTCCCCCCGTCTGCCACTTGCTCCTTCTCTCCCCGCTCCCGTTCCCGCTCGGATCCGCTTTCAGAACGGCGGGAGTTCTGACGCGAAGGAGTGCTGGGCTGGCGTGAAAGCTGACCATTCTTCTCATCTGAGGGGCAAGAGGTAAAATCAGGGACAGAAGAAGTGAACAAGCAATTTAACACATTGTACATATAGCATGTAAGTGTGTGTGTGTGTATGTATTACTTACCAGCCAGTGCCTGCACAGAAGGCTGATCATGACTACTCAGGAGCTGAGCCTGAATGGTTTCCACCACTCTCTTGAACCTGCGGCTGGGACCTGAGGGGAGAGAGAATCGGTTCCCCTGACTGAGAGAGCATTCTTTTAAAGTTGTCAAAGTATACAAGTGAGAAAATTGAAACTCCAATTTTAAATATTGAAACATAAATTTAGCCCCAAGGATATAAAGATACATTTAAACTGAAATGGGCATGAAGTGTAAAACAGGGTCCACATATTCCATATATTTCCGGATCTTTTCAGACCTCCAATAATTGATGTTTTTGGCCACTTGAGGGCAGCAAAAACTAGCTGTGAACTCAACACTGACATATTGTCACCTTTTAAGTTGCTACGGCGAACTCGTTAGCAAGTTGCCTACATGGAGTGACGTTAGCATTCAATTCAAATACTCATTCTCTTTTAACTCTGTTTTTTGTCTCCTGAGGGCTTTTTAGATGCTAAATGCGTCACAAGTGTCAAGTTTCAGGTTAGCTAGCGGCTAACTGGGTCTGGCTGGTATTTGGTGCTGAGCAGCTGTGGGTTTTCATGGCTTTCTCACTGGAAACAGCTGCCCGCTGAAGCCGAAAACGACACTACGAGAGCAGTGAGAGTGAACCAAAACAGTAAAGTTGTGGGCCTGACAGCTAAACAATGAGCTGTGTAACTCAGAGTGGAGAGCTGCAGATTCAGGCTATAACTGTCTGTAGGTTCATCACTATGAGCGGCATCTTTTATTTGTCACGTTGTTTTCACAGTGTTTCATACTTTTTTATTATACAAATATCGATAATTGGCACCTTTAAAATTGTGAAAATGCAAACTCCAAGTTTAAATCCCAAAAGAGAAATGGGTTTTTTTAATCACATCTATATAAATTAAAATATAGTGTAATGGGAATTCCATAAAAACACCAAACATTTTAGCAAGTAACCCTGGACTCTTGTTTGTTCATCCTGACTTCAGGGTCAACGTGTCTCTTTGGGCTGACATGACCTACCCCACTTTTTTCACTCCTTCGAACATACATATATACAGTGTATGGTTGTTGCTGTGAGTCCTTCTGCAGAAGACTTGAATAAAGTACACAGAAAGACAAGTGTTTGCCTAAGCAGTTTATTTATAAACTCGAATTGCCATCACAATAGACTAAAGCTGAAATGTGTCCATATTCCGGGATCTTTTTAGTAATATATAGATTACTTTGAAGCCAATATGAAGTATATAATGTGGGGATAACTACTAATTCTACAGCAAATTAGCTTTAGGGACAACACATCTTTGCTTCACCAAAAAAATATTTAATGGGTAAGGCGTAGCCCCGACCCTGAACATTTTACATTACATTGTGGAGTTGTAGACTGTTGTATAGAGTATGCACTAAAAGTTGTCACACTGCATTGGGTAAGTTGTTACACTGGACTGTCAAAAAATAAGAACACAATTACTACTACTGTCTAATGGTTGGAGCCAGTGTGAGCAGTGGGGTGGGAATGACGTGAGAATATGCATTTCCTGGTCATGTCCTGTGAAACATGTTATTTATGCAAACAAACACACCACTGAAAATATATTCCTCTTCACACACATGAGACTTGTGGTTGTCCAAAGGGAGTAAACGGGGCTTCTCCTTTGCGCACTTTGTAAGTTCATTGAAATGTTTCAGGAAGTCAACAAAGTGCAAACTCAAACTCATATTTCTGTGCACTTCATCGAAGAAAGCATTTACATTTTCTCTGTTGAAGCTACTTGCAAGCCTTTTTGTTTTCTGCCCACAGAGGTGCGAACTTCAGGGCGTGTGCAACAGCAAACTGGTAGGAAAATTTTCTGACCACACTTGGCGAGCTGCTTCTCCAAATCAGGTGGAAAAATCATCACTAGGGAACAGTACAAACACCACACTAAACTGATGACTGTATGAAGTAGTGCCTGTGTGCGTACGCGCGTGTGTGTGTGTGTGTGTGTACTTCATACAGTTTCATGAATTCAGTCTTGTGTAGTCCAGGAATATGCCTGCTACTGTAAACAGCATAATAATTTTTTTGCAGAATAATTTTATCTTATTGTCAGAGCTATTTACATAATATCACAATGTTTTTTCAACATGTTCTAAGTGATTGTTTGGAAGAGACGACTTTGTCTAAACTGACATGGGTGCAAATGTTGGCTAAATCTCAATGTTAGCTCAACATAGCACTTCAACTAAAGCATCAAAAGACGTGTTCTTGTCTCCTCTACTTATTTAATTATAATTTTGAACATTCATGCATAACAAAGTTGTACTGCATAACATGAAAGTGGCATATTATTTACTTTCAAAGCAAAAAAATGAAAGAAGTTTGTGCTCTCCTCAGATTAGAGTGACTTTGTGATAAAGTGACAGATGTAAACAGGAAGTTGACCAGAGAACAAGAAGTCACACAAAGTGGACTTTGATTTTTGAGATACACCCTCTAGTTTTGGAGTTATGAACAGTGTGACTCATGTGTGACAACTTACCCCGCTCTCCCCTACTCTACTAAGAACTTTAGTGTTATTTTGCACATTCTATGAGGTAACTGATCATCAGTCGTTCAACATAATCGTGCAGTTTAAACATCCCTTATGTTGGACAGAAAGGACTTTTTGGATTTTATCAAATTATTTTACTTTGTGTAATGTGCCCCACCAGCTGGTACCTAACATGTACGACGGCCAATAAACACATCCTTCTACCTGTTATTAGAGTGAAGGTGACGCTGTAGATGCCCATCTCTCTTCTTCCCTCTCTCTCTGCTCGTTCCCTCTCTCGCTCCCTCTCTCCCTCAGAGAAAGCAATGTCCACCTACAGGAGAATGGGGTTCATGACCGGGATTGTTGAATTAATAAGGTTTGCTCAGACACAAAGATCAAAGATTGTTAGTTACATGCCCTCTCCAGTCTCCATGTTTCTTTCACAGTTCATTTATCTCTGTGTTCCTTTGTTGGGTTTTTTGATACTACCATTGTGGGGCTCCAAAGTTAGCAATGTTCAAATTCTACACAGAGTGATAGTTAAATGAACAGCTGCCAGTTGTTAACCCATGTAATTGTCTGAATCTGAATGTTTATGATGCTCACATTGAAACACACAAACTCTTCATGCGGAGCACTGAGATGTTAGAATTAGATATGAATGCCTGTGTGGGTTTGAAACTTGCAGGGCCAGCCAACATGCGTGTGTAAAGATGGAGTTTTGGGTCTCACAGGGCTGAAGAGGAAAAAAATGTAATAATACCTGGAACTTGACAGGCTTCTGGAAGACAGAGGGGCCGCCGGAGGACTTGTACTCTGCCCGGAAACTGTTCTGAGACACCACACTGTGGCTCAGGGATGGGATCTGGTGAGGCAAAAGAAACGGGGGACGCTCAGTGAGAAAGATCAAATCTTAAATGTGTGCCTTTAATGCCACAAATGGTATTACATAGTAATCGTAACTGGAAATTGTTGAGGCTTATCTAAGCTCGATTGTACTCACAGAGAGAAAGGCATGGACGATGTCGGCCTTGATAGAGCTAAGCGGCTTGTCTTGAATCAAAATAAAGATCTGCTCCTCTTTATCCAGGCTGATGAAGTTACCGAACCAGGACCTCTTAGCCAGTCTGCAAATAAGGGAGGAATTGATTTAGGACAGATTAGTCCTGTTTCACACATTTCACACATTATGAATCCAAATCAACCAGTACACAAAATGAATTCAGGTTGTATTATTTTTAACTGGCCTATAATGACTGACATAGTGTTCATTCAGAGCCACTGACGTCAAGGAATTTACTATTTATAACAATTTGGTTACACAATTAAATTCTGCTGCACAGGGAGAACTAATGTTAACACACACATACATGAACATTAGATCTTCACTAAATCATTCCTGGAGGTTGAGCTGGTGGAGGGAACTGCAGCAATCAGCATAACAGAATATTCATGGTGAAAGAGTCAGGTTAAAAATCTCCACACAGTATACTGACATGGATACTATTCAAGCCTGCCCACAGAAATGTCTGGGCCCCTGAAAAGGTCCAGTAAATAGGCCCTCTGCAAATCTGCTTTACTCATGTCAACACATGCTGTTGTCTCTCTCTGTCTCCTACATAAACACATACATGGCTTGCTGCATGCGGTGCACTGTTGATGTTTTGATGTCGCGTACAACAAACATTACTCATACCATGTTCAGTAGGGGTGGTTTTCATTGTGAAACAGGCCATATTTTACTAAAGCAAAAAATATTTTTAAGTAATGATGAGTTTTTTGGTTCAAAATTAAATTTGGTTATCTTTGCCTATATTTAGAATGAACATCATTAGTGCTGGACTGCATGGGCCCTCCAAGCAGCTGGGCCCCAGAATGCTTTCCCCTTTTTCCCCCTTATGGGTGGCCCTGATACTATTGGATGGTACTAGTCAGCTGGTGTGAGAGCCAGTGATCATGAAGCATGAATGCAACAGCTGATAACATGCAGATTTTTCTGACATGAATGACCAATTCTCCATTAATGTTTAGTAGAAAAAAATAAATGGCGCTGTCTGCAAAACTATATTGTAAGCAAATCATTTGTTTCATATTCAGTCTTTAAATTTGCAGTGACTGATTTTTGCACTTGGGTGCTGCAGACACAAGATATGCCAGCAAACAATGCTAGCAAACAGTTGCCCTTTTAAACTTTTTTCGTTTCATATTTACAAATTCAACAGATATGGAGCAACATTAGCATTCATTTGGAGTCGTGTTTCTGACCACCTGATGAATGGAAAACCAGTATGCACTCTCCATTTTGCTCTGTTTTGTGCTCCACTAACTCCAGAGAAAAATATCTAGCTCTTTAGCTGCTAAAAGCTGCACAATGTTCCCCAGCAGGTTGCTAACCTTGAAGAAATGTATAGTTGGGTGATCATTTTCTGGGGGGGTCATTAAGAGCCACTCCTTTAACTTACATTAAAGCCACTTTAAATTGATTTGGGGGTAAGCTTGGTGGGAAAGATCATTTCAAATGTTTCAAGTGCAATTTCCTGTGCTTCAAGAATGTTTTTACAAAAGAAAAAGGTTATCCTACTACAAGGATCACATCTCTGTAAAAAAGTTAATTAAAATTAGTTATCAAATATAAACCCTCTAAACAACTACTAAATTAAGCTTGTGGTGGGATTGATTGTCAGTTAATATGTCAAACTGTTTGCAAATAGAGAAAGACAAACTGAGACTGTGCAGACTTACTCTGGACTGGACTCCGGAGTCAAACTGGACATGTCCTCTGATGTAGGGACTAAAAAAGAGAAAGAGAGAGGAGAGAGGAAGAAAAATGGTAAAGAGCAGTGAATCTTGATGACAGGCCATAATTTAATTGCCCTAATTACAGATTATCACAGAATTAGACATTACTCAACACAGCCGCAGGCTGCAGGCTGGGGCATGCAGTCATTTCTTGATAATAACAGATTCTATCTTGGATGCAGCGACACAGTAGGAGACCTGATTGCTTAAACTGTTAGCAGAGCATCTTGACATTGATGGAGACAAATGTTACTTCTTGCTACAGCTGCAAAACACATGTTTAGGATTTATTTTTTCCCCCAAACAATCAGTGTAGAGGATTGACGCCGTCATCATTCACTTTGTGTTTGTTAAAATTCTTCAACGTCACTCACCTTGTAGTTTGCGCCGATGGAAGCGTGGCGAGCCCAGGAGGTTGTTTTTGAACGAGTTGAGCCTTGTTCTCCAGTGGCCGGAGCTCGAGGCAGCCAGGCTGCCACTGCCGCCCGGGCTGGAGGGCGGGGTCAGTGACAGCGAGACCCCGCCGGCTCCGTCCACTCTGGAAGAAGAAGACGAGGAGGAAGAGGAGGGCGGGGTGGTGGAGGAAGGGTGTTGGATTTGGTGCACAGGTGTGCCCAGCGGGGTGGGCAGCGGTGAGCCCTGCGGCGTGACCTGCGACACAGGAGGAGGGGTAGCAGAGGAGTTAGAGGACGAGTGGACGTTCTTGGACTTGAACACAGACGGAGAAGGGAAGTTGAAGAAGCGTGGAATGGGGGAGAGGAGTGGGGACGGGGACGGGGAAGGAGAGCGTGGAGTCTGGAGAGGGAGGGACTTCATGGAGTGGAGCGGGGGCCGGTCAGTTGGGCCCTTTGAGGGCAGGGTCTGGGTTTTTGGGTCAGGCGCCTGGCGGGTAGGCCGAGAGGTGGTGGCACTTCCTGGTTTGGGGTCTTTTGAGGAGGAAGCGGAGGTGGGGGTGACTTCTGGTTGGCTGAAAGTGAAGACCGGGCTCTGATGGGCAGACAGAGAGAGATGGGGAGAAGGAGGGAAAGAGGGATGAGAGAGCAATGGTCATGAATTATGGTTCATGGAAATGATTCTTCAACAAGCCTTGATCAGGTGCAAGATGAATTTGTGTGTTTATGTGTGTTTTTAGTCAGCATGCGTACACACACTTTGGAATGAGGCAGCATGGGGTGTCTATAAAATGCGAATGTGTATGACTGATGATGTATGATAGAACAGCGTGGCAAGCAGTGACTGCTGAGAAAGAGTTATCAGAGCAAAAAACATCATCAGAGGACATTTGGTTTTGATGGTGACATGGTTTTGGGTTTTCTTCAGTTATTTCCAGTTTTATGTTAAAGAGTTTGATTGTCTGCCCTGCCCTGTAAGTTTCATCTGTGTCTAGTTCTCCTTTCCTCATTTGTATTCAATGAGTCAAGCATCCCTGCCATTTTGCTAGCGTTTTTGGACCTTGTTTCCCTTGAACCTTGCCTGTGCTTTTGGATTTTGATTCTTGAATGATTGTTGAACCGCTCCCTTCTGGAATTGTTTGCCAGTGCATACTGCATTCCTGGTTTTGTCCCTTGCCTGCCTCACCTTCCCGTGAGCCTGTGTACTTTTTGATTTAATCTAAATACCATTTGAACTGCGCCTGCTCTGCCCTGGTGTCTGCATTTGGGTCCAAACCCTTGTGTTCCTGTTCCCCGCTTAAACAAACTGTGACAGATGGCCAAATCTGAGATATTGAAGCTGCTGATAATACATATGTTTACTGTATATACTGTGTATTGAATAGGAAAATACTGGGAAGACAGATTCGGCAACTTTGTTTTTATACACAACCCTGCAGAGAGTTAATATTGACTGATTGATTGCAACTGATAAACACTATGTTGCATTCAGGAACCCGTATGAAAATCCAAATTATAATTATTAAGTTTAAGGATAAGGCTGGAATTATCCTATATTTTATTATTGTCAACAATTACAAAGAAAATACCAAAACCAATGTGCTTGTCTTGTAATGCTGCCTGATTACTGTACCTTTGGCACATAGCTCTGTACACTACACGCTGGACAGGTCAATTACAGGGCTGACCCATAGAAATGGACAACTTTCCTTGAGTCACCAAGTCTACGACGTTCTATGACCAATTAACTTGAACTACATATCTTTGGACTGTGGAAAGAAAAAAAAAATCACAGAAAATAGAGGAAATATAGCGAACTTGACTCAGAAAGGGCCCAGATCATTAATAAAACATTAATGCCGCTTTCTGTGTCAATCCCCCAACGCATGAGTGTAATCATTTAGTCCGATTATGTGATGTACAGAACAGCACATTTTACAGACCGTTCTAGGCATAGGGAGATTAAAATGGGTGAGATTATTCTGGATCTGATGTAGCTGTGAAACTTTGTAGATTGTCATCTTCGTTATACAACTTAATAGGCTTTGGAATCTAAAAAGATGAGCTCTCTGTCTTCAGACTGCAGGTTATATTTACTAGGCAGCTAGGTCAGAGGTTAAAAATAGTTCTATGCAAAGGTTAAAACTAGAGTGTGGGACTTTTGAACATGAACATCCACTACGTTCAAATCCTTGCCAAATGAGTTCATACAATGCTGATTGAGACTATACTATACTGTAATCGCAGTATACCAGTATTTTAAATCTGTCTGTGGTGACGTCCCAGTGATGTGTTTTATGGCAACCAGCAATGATTGGTTTACCGTAGCGAAAGGAGCAACTAAGTGTGGCAGTGTGACAGTGTTTAATTACTCTCACTCTCCGAAGAGGGAGACAAAAGCTCTACACTGGAGGATTACAGAGAGTAGTACAGAACAGAGTGGAGTGAAGTTCTTACCCTGGGACTGCTGAGGGGACTGGAGGACAGACCTGTAGATGCTCCACTGACTGAACGAGACCTTTAAAGGACAGCAACAATCAACATTCAGGGAAGTGGGATTTTCAGGTGCAACAATTAAAACAGATTCTGTAGTTTATAATTCTAAATTGTTATTCCCACTTGTATGGAATATTAACTTGGCTGTTGTCCACAAATTCTATCAATTAAAAGAACTGTCATGATATGTCAGTGCTGGTCCGTACCTCTGGCTGTGTGCGTTAGTGTCCAGGGCCCTGCGAGGTGGGGTGGGAGACCCCTGTTCTGTGACACTGAGGACCTCCAGGCTCTTCCTCTCTGGACGACAGCGGCCATGACGTGTCAGCATGGGTGAGTCCACACGCTTCCTTGGTGGATCTTGAAGGACAATAATATCAGTAAAAGTCTTTAAAAAAATCTTCTAACAATTTTTGTGAAAATAACATTTGCTTTCATAATCAAGCTATTTTCTTGTTCTTGATTGGACCGTAAAAGGGTTCAACAGCTCAAGAGTAAGTGTTCCCACCTATGTCATTTCTGGGTGGCAGATCCTCGTCTTCACAGCTGGGGTATCGCTCTTTCCTGTCCAACAGGAGGTAGTAGATCATCTTCTCCTGGTTGTCCCTGCAGAAAAAAGATGCAGAGAGACACAGAAACCAAAGGTCAGAAATAGAGAAGACAGATAGCTTTAAGCTGACAGAGTTGGAGAAAAAGTGTGAAAACACAGGAAAAGCCTGTCAGGGTTGTCACAAATCTCCTGACAATTATGGCTGGCACCATCGTAGAGGTTCACACATAAATGGCAAAAAATTGTAACTGATGGAGGTGATATTTGATAAATAGTTTCTAAAATATGATGAATGTGACAGACCAGACATAGACATTCAAATCCTTCATAGTTGCTGTTAAAACAGTCAGCTCTGCTTTGTTAGCTAGCTAATTAGCTCGCAAGCTAATTTTTTGTTAATGGGGGTCACTGAAACTGTAGCACAAATTTTTAAACCTGCTGCGATAGATTGATTTGGCCAAACTGTAAACAAAATACTGACATATTGTCACATTAAGTTATCTGTTAGCTCCATTTTTGGTTTCTGTTTACTCTCAAGGGAAATATCTGGATCTTTAGATAATGCTCCACTATGTTCACCAGCTAGTTGCTAAGTTTGTCTGTCTGCCGTTTGGTGTGGTCAGGTAGTCTGTGGTGAATTTATCTGAACTTTTTCACTGACAACAGCTGCCTACTGCGGCTGGTAAAGGGCATAATGAGAGCTATGAGTCACAGCAGTCGCGTTGCAGGCTGAAAAAATCAAAATGAGCTGTGAGATGCTAAAACGTAGAGCTGTGGAGAACTGCAGATGTCGGGTGTTTATTTTCTGTACGTTTGTCACTACGAGCGAGCCCTTTCACAAAGTTTGATCCATTGTTAAAATAAAGACATTAAGTGCTTTAATGTAAACGCTTCACGTTTGTTGGCTTGTCTTGTTGGGCTGCACTGCTGTTGTATTGTGGGTAGTGAGAAGCCACACCAGTTTGGAAGAGAGGGGGGACGCAAGGGATGGGCAGAGAGAGAGAGAGAGAGAGATGAAAGAGACATTGTCGGGATTGTCGCTCTTGTTCCTGCCATGTCAGGCAGATTAATGATGTAAGTAATTGACTGGCCACAATGAGACAAAGACAATGAGAGAGAGACAGAGACAGAGAGAGACATACATTGTGAGAGAAATTAAAAATTAACACACACTTACGCAATTTTGACTTGACAAGTCTGTTGACAAGTCTGTACCTGTTTAATGATTACATTTGCCTACTGGTCATCAAGTGATAAAACTGATGTTTGAGTTCTCATCACGCATAACAGAAGGGCACATTGATGCATCGCCATCTATTCAAAGTGGAAATGTTTGATGGGTTATATTTACTCACTCCTCACTTGTAAGGTCCTGTGTGAGTTTGACCCGGTCTCTGAAGCACCCTAAGGAGTACATGCTTTCCAGGACGTCAGGGTCCAGATCTGTTAAGGACAGGATCCTCTTCACACACACCCTGCGGGGGGGCGGCTGCTCTGGGCAAGGCTCATTACGACCACCCCTGATAGGGAAAAAGTCAGTAGCTGTAGTTAGCATGTGCAATTACAAACATCTCAAAGTTTACAGCAAGCCGTGACAGACAATGAGGTCCAACATTACGCAGGTTTATGTCAACTGAGGGAGTTTTATTATTATTGCGGTTCAAAAACTGCAGTGGAAAGGTACATAGTGAGACATATTCAGCTTTAACACATAGAGCAAAACATGCTGACGTCAGCAGAGAGCACACTGACTATATAAACACACACAAGCACTTTGAAATTGATGCCGTTAGCTGACAGATGTGCACACAACACATGTTTCTCTTCCAAAACGTAGGGGTGATTGACCTCCCAGAAGGTATGATGTTACTTATTCTTGTATACTTGTTCAGTAGCACAACTTATTACCAATAATGCTCCAATGAGCGGGCATCCACGCCTGTTGAATTAATATAAAGTGAGTGCAAAGAGTGTGCATTGCTCGAGACGGCGGTGAGGTTCTGATTTCACAAAGCAGTGCAGGTAGTATTATGGATTATGAACAAAGGACAAAAATAATAATAGAAATATATATTTTTTTTACCTTTGGTGAAAATGGAAAGGCTAGATTTAAACCACCAATAAAATATTACCACTTATGATCAGAGTTTCTATGAGGAACTTTTAAAGCTAACCTATCCTGTGATCTGGTGTTATGATTGTTCACTTTGAACATAATACCCTGTTAAGGTTGAAATTAACAAGCGGAAATAGAGAATTTGACTCTTGCTTTGAAACTGTAAACACTTTGCTGATAACAGTATAAGTAGCTGGAGCATTTTGAGGCAATTATAAAATATATAAAGGGAGGTCGGGGTGGCTTGGTGGAGAAGTGAAAGGGAAAAAAAGTAAGATAAATGAATGTACTTACTGGTACCAGGAGTGTTTCTGTATTGCTTCTAGCTGTAATCAACAAAAAATATAAGACAATATTAAATATTGAACATTATATTATAGTATATATAAGTTTCTCTGTGAAAAAAACTATACGTTTCGTTATGGAATTCAGCACTGCCAATAGTGCTAGATTTAGCTGCTGGTTTGCACAGTGTTGGTAAGAATGTAACAATTCAGGAATTAGCCTGTCTAAATGTGTTCCTATGAACTTTCTCTATGAACCATGAACCCTGATTATGTCTAATACTGTTTTTAGCATGGCTCTACGGATGCTCGCTCACTTTGGTCCAGACTGAAATATCTCAACAAATATAGAATAGATTATGATAAAATTTGCTGCAAGCATCCCGCGTCAGGATGAAATGTAATACTTTACATCTAGCGGTATCAACTGGTAAGAATTTTATTTTGTCCAGTACTTTGGTTTACGACTAAATACCTGCAAAACAAATGACATTCTCATAGGCCTCAGCTGTACGGTAGGTGTGCTGAGTTCTAATTAGCAAATGTTAGCATGCTAACATTCCAATATAAGATGGTGAACATGGTAAACATCACACCTGCTAAATATCAGCATGTTAGCGTACTGATGTTAGCATTTAGCTCAAATACAGCGTCACAGAGCATAGCTGTAGACTCGCTTCTATTTGTTTCCACCCAGTGGCAACCTCCGTGCTGAAAAATTTAGACATCACACAAGTCCTCTGAGTGATGGGTGGCTAACTGCAACAACCGAGCTTCATTCGGCCCGCCTGAGCTCCACCAACACTCCACCTCTTTGCCCATTTCTGTATTAGCCGGGAGTTAGGCGAGTGAGGCGCTGCCAAGATGAAGACACCTACATTGAACTTCACAATCTCTCACCTATGGGCAACGTCGTGGAGACTACATCCATGTTTTATACGGCTTCTACTTTCACAACCCTAGAAAAAGTTTCCTGTCCTAAATCCACGATTACATTATATATTCTGCATTAGGACTGCATACAGTGGTAGCCATCACATCAGTGCTGCACAGTATCTCTTGGGGTTGGAATAATGGAACAGCTGCAGTTTTGCAAGCATTTAAAAAGTCAAATGTGGGCCTGGTGTGAACACTGTATCTGTACATCTGCAGAGAGGAAACTAGCAAGTAGCTGCATGCAGCGACAGCTTTGCTTTGTTAACTTGCTTATAGAGTCCTGTTTGCAGCACGGATGTTACACTCCAACATTCCTGTTTCCTAAGTGATAAGAATGTGATGAAAAAAGCGCAGAATTGAAGATATGTGGATTCATTTCCTAATGCTCTGCTTGCTAGATACTGATATACTTTTGAACTGGATTGAAATCAGTCTCCTTGCATGGTGTGTGGTTTCCATGGAGGCTGCTAGCAGACAGACAGAGACAGAGAGACACTCTGACCTGGTTTCAGGCTCTATTAATCAACAGCTCATCAGACGAAGCCACAGCTTTGATTAAATCTACTCTGTTGTAGCAGAATGACTAACTGACCAGGCCTTTTCTTTCTCACTGTCTTTACTTAACAGCATCATCTGAGTCAAGCCACATTAGCACAGTTGTCTCCGTCTTTCTGCCTCCTAAGCATGAATTCATTTCCACCCCACATGCCCGCTTTATTCCAGCTTCAATTTAGAACCTGAGAGCGGTGGAATTTCCTCTAGCAGTCCATTCACATTGTTCATTTATTCATTCATATACCCTCTCCCCTCCATCACGCTCTGAACTGCCTGTCTCCTTTCAAGCCTTGCTTTCAGGAGGGAAAGCTGAAAAGGAAGAGAGGTCCTCATCTCTTTCACCCTCAGTGCCTCCATCCTTTACGGCCACTGATGAAGCCTCTTGACCCATCCATTCCTTTTTAAGTACATATATGCATGTACTTCATATATATATATGCCTCTCCTCCTATATACATCTTGGTGTCCATGATAAACTGCAGACTTGCTGTTAAACTGACTCTGCTCCTGCCTTAAAGCAGTACCTTTGTCCTTCCCCTCTGCTCTGTTCAATCCACCCTCCTCCTCATCTTCCTTCTCCTGGTCATGTGTCAGGGTCAATTTCTGTCACATCTTGAAGCCAAGCCTGCAGCAGGGTCTTTTCTGTCCTTCCTCCCTCCGATATGCCTGGTTCATGCTTCATGTGCTGTAGAAACTGATGTGGTGCAATGTGTGAGGCAACAATTGACAGTTTGATAAGCCCCGCCTTCTTTAGTTAGTGTTGCTACTTCCCTTAAAGTTCTCCATTGCAGTTTACGTCCAATCACTATTTTAGGGGTAGCAGACTTTGACACAATGGCCTCCACATTTTGATAGATTTTTTGCCAGTTTTCTCTCTGATCGTAGACTCAAAACGCAAAAATGCAATGTATTCATTCTACTTTATTTGTGGAAACATGTATCTCATCTGGTTCAAAAAACGAGTTCTGATATTTTTGTTCCATGATAGAGAAAAAACATGTATACAACAATACGACTATATATATCACTACAACATAATTCAAAGTACATTGCCATTAGTTAAGTTAATGTGTCTTTTCTCTCCCTGTATAAGCCCCATGGTCCCTCCCTCCTCACCGTGAGTCTCTTGTCAGCGTTGACCTCTATCATTCCTTTAAGCAAAGCTTGGCAGTCAGGAGGTATAAAGTGGGGCATGTGGAATACCCCGCTCTTTACTTTCTCTAGAAGCTGACGCAGGTTATCATGGTCAAAGGGCAGGGCACCCTGGGAAAAAATGGGAGAGGGTGGAGAGAGACAGAAAGAAGATAAAATAGGAAACGAGCGTTAAATCCTTTATCCTTCGATTCCCTTCTGGCTTGGCGAGCAATCCTGCTCCGGTGGAGGCACGCTGAACCGTCCACTCATACACAATGGCTGGTGAAAATTATGTCCTGCTTTAAACTTAAGAACTTACACTTATTTGCTTTCTTACCACGAGCAGCTGGTTAGCTTACCTTACCTAGCACAGAGACTGGAAACAAAATTTGCCGAAAAAGCTCACAAATAACACACCATATCTTGTTTGTCTAATCAGTACAATAGCTTAAAGTAATAGCTTAAAGTAAATAGCTTATAGTGTAAAACGACAGTTCACCATTTTATAGGGTGTTATTTTTCTCACACAAACACATTGCATGTATATTTAAGGCTTCACAAGGAATCTTTTTCTTCCTGCTTTTTGCTGGCACATTCCTACATTTCTTGGCAGGTTACCATTGCCAACTTTCAGTGTAATGTCAGCAGTCATGTCACCCACATGCTCGTGCATCCTACTACCTTGTTAGTAGAGCCTGAGATGTAAATGAAATGGTGACCAGTCTCCACAATATTGCTCCACTAGTGGTAAAAAACTTCAGAGAAAGAAAATGCAACAGAATCTTCTTACCACAAGAAGAGCAAAGAGGATGACGCCACAACTCCAAACATCTGCCCTGCGACCGTCGTACTTCTCCCCCTGAAAAGCAATGCAAGGACAGGGTAGCATTAGACATGCACACGCACACACGCACACACACACACACACGCTGAGAGGGAAGTAACTTACCCTTATGACCTCTGGGCAAGCATAATGTGGGGATCTATAAATAAAGAAAAAAACTATTAAAAGATTTAACCAGATACAAACATACACATAGATAAAGGAAGCACTGAGATCCTGTGTGTATAGAGTGCTGAGTCATGTTTAAAAAACAAAAATATTCCATTCTGAGTGTACAAAAACACCTGCGGTTTTATCCAGGTGAAAGCTACAATCCCTTACTAATTTTATCTGTTAAATCCACATTCTCCCTGATAGGCAGGTGGTTTAAAAATGTCGGAGCTTTTAATGAACAAAGCCATGGATTATGTAAAAAGAAGCAGACCAGAGCATTGCGTAGGTGTTCCTATTTATTATTTTATTTTATTGTTTACTTGTCAGGGACAATGCAGAAGAGACACACTGAAACAGGTGACTAGTAACTTGTAACTTGTAAGAGGTGACTAGTAACTTGTAAGAGGTGACTAGTAACTTGTAAAAGGTGACTAGTAACTTGTAACATGTAACAGGTGACTAGTAACTTGTAACAGGTGACTAGTATCTTGTAAAAGGTGACTAGTAACTTGTAACTTGTAAAAGGTGACTAGTAACTTGTAACAGGTGACTAGTAACTTGTAACTTGTAAAAGGTGACTAGTAACTTGTAAAAGGTGACTAGTAACTTGTAACTTGTAAAAGGTGACTAGTAACTTGTAACATGTAACAGGTGACTAGTAACTTGTAACAGGTGACTAGTAACTTGTAACATGTAACAGGTGACTAGTAACTTGTAACAGGTGACTAGTAACTTGTAACTTGTAACAGGTGACTAGTAACTTGTAACATGTAACAGGTGACTAGTAACTTGTAACAGGTGACTAGTAACTTGTAACAGGTGACTAGTAACTTGTAACATGTAACAGGTGACTAGTAACTTGTAACAGGTGACTAGTAACTTGTAACTTGTAACAGGTGACTAGTAACTTGTAACAGGTGACTAGTAACTTGTAACTTGTAACAGGTGACTAGTAACTTGTAACAGGTGACTAGTAACTTGTAACAGGTCACTAGTAACTTGTAACAGGTCACTAGTAACTTGTAACAGGTCACTAGTAACTTGAACAAATGTGTTGCATATAGGGTTTCTAGCTGAAGCTAATTTGCAAGCCCTGTCCTTGGTTTGGCTACACACATCACCATTACCATGAAAACAGAAACAAACAACAAACAAAAACACACCAGTCAGGATAAAAAGAATTCCACACTTTGTGTATTTGTGTAAATTTTTACCAATTGCTTAAATCTTACTAACTTTATATATCACCTGAAAGATGAATCTCATTTTTTATTTAAGGCCATTGTGAGATTAAAATGAACACCATCTCACAGCTATTCGTAACTAACGTTTTGGGAACATATATGCCATCGTTGTAGTTCATTTACAATACAGTACAGTAAAGATAATTCAAGATGATATTTAAATGGGTAGATGTAACCCAGCACTCACCCACAACTGGTTTCCAACAGGCTGTCGCCGACTTGTAGTGAGGCCATGCCGAAGTCTGCTATCCTGATGTTGTTCTTCTCATCCAGGAGAAGATTCTCTGGCTTCAGGTCTCTGTGACTGGAACACACACACACACGTTCAATGAAAGTACTTAAGTCTTTTTTTCCAGATGATCAACAGCAAATAAAGTTTTTGTGCTTAACATTGAGGTGTAGGTTAACAATCCCTCAGATAATGACTGGTAATGAATTGCGCTCCAAACTTTGTAGTTAGAATTTATAGCAGGCTGTGTGATCCAATCAGATGATTTTTGTTTTTTTCACTATATCTTTTAGCTCAGGTTAAAGCAAGGGCAAATACAAATCGATGGGGAAACAGACTTCAACACAACACCGGCAAAAACTACTAAAAATTGAGAGACAAAACTGGAGATATGACCAAAAAGAAAGGGGGCAGGGCTCATAAGGTCAAAAGCCTCTCACAGACCATATGGAGTGACTGTGGCAGAAGTCAAGGGCGGAGATGATTTGTCTGAAGAACTTCCTGGCCTCTTTGGGGGTCAGCCTGCCCTTCTTCACCAGGTAGTCGAATAACTCTCCGCCAGACACGTGCTCCAACACCAGGTACCTGAGAGACAGAAGGGCAGAGAGATGTAAACAGCTGTGGAAAGGGAAGGGTAACAAAAACATGTATATAAAAACAAATGCCATTAAAATGCATGCACACAAGTCATGGATGCTTCTTCCACATATAAACATAAACAAACACACACACACACACACACACACACACACACAACCCTCTATATCTTCCATATCCTATGGTTATTTATCTTGGCTTTGTCTTACAGTTCCTTTCCCTTTCAGATTCAAGGTTGTTTCAGGGGACCAGAAGCAGAGAGGGAAGAAAAGTCAGTTTCTCAGAGGAGGAAGTTAAAGAGATACTCACAGGTATTTGTTATTCTCATAGACATCATGAAGCTTCAGAACGTGAGGGTGCTCTATTAGTTTAAGAATAGCTATTTCTCTTTCCACCTGGATAGAGGGAGTGGGGGTGGGGTGGGGGTAAGAGAGAGGGAGAGAGAAGAGAGGAGGAGAGAGGTTAAAAAGGTGATGCAGATTGAAATGTCAGAAGAAAGAAGAAGGCAAATACGATGGAAAACAGATAGCCAGGGAGGAAGCAATTATAAAGGCAGAGTTAGGTCAAATGTAGAACAGACAGTATTAAATGGTTTTGTAAATTCAGCAAGTTAAGTGCAGACCATGGCCTGTACAGCACGCTACGTACCTCAAAACTATAGCTCCTAACATACTAAGACTTTAAGACTGCACTAATCAATATTTTCACATGAACAGTGAACCAAATAACTATGTGTAATGTAAAAGGTGTCACTCACAGTGACAAACCTACAGACTATTATCACAAACTCTGCAGTTCCACCTTAGGTTTGCGAAGAGTTTTAGCGTCTTTCGATTCATTGCTTTGGTTTTACAGACTGCAACTTTACTATTTTGGTGAACTCAAACTGCTCTCCACTTCTTCACCGCTAGTGTCGTTTTCAGATGCAGCAGGCTCTAAAAAAAAGCTCTAAAAACCCACTGTACCAGTGGCTGTTGGCCAATAGAGGGAGCTGCCCTGCCTGGGGAATCTAGCTTCCTGCTCAACCACTAATCTCTTCTGGGGCGATAGAAATATCGCCCAGGCAGTACAGCAGCGCAGCCAATAGCTGACAAGATATACCCATAGCAACATTAATTAAGCTAATCAGCGTCCTCAAATCTGAAGAGCGATAAATTTTTCGCACTAAGCAGAGTCAGTTGGTGGGAGAGTAGGGACACTTTCAGCCGCCCACAAATTCAGTAAGATCTCTTCTTCAAAATCCATTTGAGAGGAGAAACATGTCAAAGAGCTTGGCCAAGATCAACTTGACATCAAAATCAGTCAACAGGCTAGCAAGAAAGGTACAATGTACTTGCATAGCTTCTTCTGCAATTGGTACAACAGAAAAGCTTGGGTAGCTGGATGCAATCATGTAAATGCCGTATTTTGCTTCCCATGCTTGCTTTTTAAAATGGCAGCCGGAGCGGACGGATACAACATATACTGTTACAGGAGTAAATGACACGAAACATTTATCTGAGAAGATTAAGAAACATGAGTGTGCGAGGGCACATATGGACGATACGGTGAAGCTAGCCATGTTAGGCAGGGTTAACATCGCTACACAGCTGAGGAAGGCCAAAGGATTGGGGTGAGGAAACACAATGAAGAGGTGGATAAGAACAGGCATGTTTAACACATGTGTTAAATTCTGCCGGGCATTTGAGCTGGCCTTTGAGCCGGCCTTGCACGGAAACAATGAGGCCAAATCCTTTGACAACCCTGCCGTTTTCAGTAGATCTTGTTGCCTCTCTGGACTGTGTGTTGGAGGAGCACCTTAAGACAGCTACCATTTTCAAAGGCACCTCAGACTGTGGAAAACAAACTTTTGGACTGCATGCTGTCATTTCTTAAAGATTCCATTCTGGAGGGAGTAAAAAATGCAGATTATCTTGCTATTCACCAGTGGTTGGCTACAGAGGTAAGCTGTATAGTTTATAGATCAGAATTTACAGCTCTGAAGTGTTAAGATGTGGTTATTTCCAGTGGTGGACAGAAACTTAAGTAGGCCTACTCTACTGAAATACAAATTAGAGGTATTTGTACTTTACTTGAGTATTTTCTTTTCGTGTCACTTTCTATGTTTATGTTCACTTTTTAATATTGGCATTAAATAATTTCTGACTATTTCACAGAGAGCACTTGTATCCTGCAGTTTGTGTTAAATTGTATTGGGACGTTTACTGAAACTGAGTGGATATAGCACAGACCCATAAATATTTTTCACCAGCTGCCACTACACTGTACACTACCTGTCCAGCACCAAAGAGCATTTAGCAGCTAGACCAACCGATATTTCTCTCAGGAGTTGGTGGAGACCAAAAAATAGCTCAAAGCGTTCACCAGGTAGCACATTATTTCAAATAAATGCTAACGTGGTTCCGTGTTTGCCAGATGTGTAAATAGACAAGTTTTTGCTAACACTAGCACTAAGCTAAGATACTCATCCAAAACATTAACATTTAAACATATTATGTTTAAAGCTTGTGGGCCAGCAGTTATGCTGCCCCAATATGGCCAAAGACACTATTAATGCCGTTTTAAAGTTATGACAGATAGAGTGATAGAAGACACTATCTATTTCATTGATTAAGCTATGTTAAGCTAGTCAAAGCAAGCACCTCTGTAGTATCTTTCTATGAAGTTATGACAACAACTGTTTTAAAGACTAAACTGCTGCCTTTGTAAAAAAATCTCATATCTTTGAGATTTGTATTATAGAGACCCATATCTCTTTTAGTTAAACCCTGATGAATTAAAGGTGTGTTTGAACTAAAGACATTTGGCATGGTTTAATTAAAAGACAAAATAATCTAATACTCACATACCCATACTGATTATTTTATTAGTCACTTTATGTCTGTCTGAATAAGGCAATTTAAATGGGTGTTTTCCAAAAATAAAGTATTTTGAGTATTAAATTCCATTATAGTATTTTCTTGCTGAGCTGCGGTGGAGGGCTAGTCTCATGCTAGCTTTGGCTAAACTTTAGAATGCCTTTCTGTGTAAACTGTGGATTTTGTCCCTCATCTTTAACAATGAGATGTCTTCACACGTAGTATGCACAAGATTACAGTGACCAATAACTGTTTAACCTACATAAGGGCATGTGAGTGTTGTATTAACGTGGACTTGTTTGATATGTAGTCAGAAACGTAAAGGCTTTGATGAAATTATACCGATGTAAAGCCAGATTTGGTCCATTTGTAGCTATTTGCCAAACCCTGAGTAGGCCTACATATTTTTGCATGAGACTCTATGTAATAAAAGATAATAGTCAGGAGCCAGTAGGTGCACCTGTACAATCTAATGCAATTCAATACAACAGCCCTGAAATAACATCTGTCTTTATGAAGCTCATCATGTTCAGAATGTGTTGACATTTTCATAAATGTGTCAATTCAGCTTGTCTTCTCAGCTAGCAGACAGCAGTCCAGCAACGTGGTTACTGGCAGGTTTCACACAGTAGGCAATGGGCAACTTTCCAAACATGACAAACAAACAATACTGTAAAATCCGGATGACTGGGAACCAGTGACAGTTGCATGGGGATGAAGGGTGGCTTTTTGTTTTTAGTGCTCCACAAGTGTCTGATCTTATATAGAACAAGGCCCTCAAGCCTGGATGTTATTCAAAATCTGTGTTATTAAAAGAATGACATAGGCTCTATGCATGTGTACTAAAACAAAAACATCACCACCACAACGCCGTACTTCTCTGTTCCTAAAGGACTCCCTGTGCAACCTGCTGTATTTTAAAAAGAAAGTAAGTAATCAGCCACATTAGAAACGGTAACATGAAAAGACATTTTAATTGTATTTCAGTCCAGTGTGTTTCAGCTGCAGTAGTTTTCATCAGCAGGCTTAATTAGCAGAATGAAATCATCTCTATTGTTCGGCATACAGAAGCAGTGCCCACACACTCGGGCAGCTCCAAGTTACAACACAGACAAAAATAAAGACTTTATTTCTGTTGCTGTTTTTGCAGGTTTGGAGAGTGCAAGCTTACATGGTTTGAGCTTTGAAGCCACCGTAATTACATTCATAGTGACTATACAGATGCAGCTGGTAAATAGACAGACAGATGGATGAGGGAAATCATAAGTACTGTACCTTCATTAGAACTGATTCGGAGAGTTTCTCCCTGTTGACAATCTTTATGGCCACCTTCTGCCCTGTTATACAGTGGACACCCAACTTCACCAGTCCTGAGAGACACACAGAGAGAGGAAGAAAATGTTTGAGTATCAGAAATCATCATGCAGTGTGAAAACAGGAAGGAGGGGATGTCATAAATTATTCAAAATGCTTTACTGACATTGTCACAAACATTGACCAAACTCAGCTCATAAAAAAGACTGATTGGGATATTTATACCACAGGCCTATTTGCCTGCTGTAATGTTTTCTCCCAGAATATTTGTTTTTTTTTTGTTGCTGTAATGAATTGTAGATGACCCTTTAAGAAGGTGGTAACAGAATAAAACCATGTTAGATAAAAAAGACTGACCTCTGGATATCACAGGGGTATGTTAAAGTGATTCTGAATTCTGGAATCAGCTGATGCGCCTTGCAGACGAGCCTATTTGCCTCACAAGACTCGAGGTAATTAATGAGGTTCCTACCTGTCTGCCCCTTCCCCAGGGTCTTCTCCAGCCTGTAAGGCCCCACATACTGGTTGGACTGGACCAGCGTCAGCTCCTTGCTGCTCATCCTTAGCGAGATGTAATTGTGTTATAAGGCAGATCAAGATAGCGGTCGCTCCTGCTCCGTGCGTAACGCCGTAACGCACATCACAGGCGGCTATACGGCGCTGGAGAGGAGAGCAGAGGAGAGGAGAGGAGAGGTACGGAGGACTGGTCGTGATCTAAAGCCGGGCCCTGCAGGCTACTCCCATGCACTTGTTTGTCATGCGGTCAGGTCCGTGCTTGGAGTGAGAACCGGCCCAGTTTCCACTCTATAAGGCCTAGAATAAAGTATTCCCCAGTCTCGGGTTGTGTCTCTTTTATTTCAGCACAGAAAGCAGCATCATTCAGGGGGAAGGTAGAAACGATCAGAAAGAGGAGGACGTGTGAGGTTTGACCGGTGCCAGGGATGGGAGATGCCAAACCCACCCCCTGCTATAAATAACAGTAGTTTAAAGCTAATTGATCCTATGTAGCTTATGCAGCTGGCCAAAAGTGGAGCAGGAAAGAAAGATCTCTTTCAGACCTGGACAGGAAGGCTACATTTGCCACGGATTGATTTCTGTAGGAGCAGAGTCTCAGATATCCCAAGTCAGAATGCCCTGATTGAATCCATTCTCTGATCGATATCAGGGACCCCCTCCTCGCTACCGCTACGGTCCAAAAATGTTTTCATAATCCTTCCAAGATCATGCATTCCCGTTTCTTCTCGAGCCAGGCCTCGTTTGGTCAGGATCTGTCTCTCTGTGTGCAGATGCGGCGTTGTCCGGATAATAATCTATTATCACAACAGCATCAGCAAGAAGAATGGGTTTTCCAATATCCGGTGCACACTTTGGCTCACCCCTCCCCGGCCCTGCATAAGGGAATAGAGGAAGAGGGGGGAGAGCATACAACACGCAAACAGCCTCGGGCAGACCGGGCCAGACAGGCGAAACGCGCCCTCGGTCGGGACAGCTGCAGCGGAGAGAGGTGCGCTCGGTGTGCCGGAGGAGGATCAACGCTCGGCCCGGTGATTAATCCTATTTCTAGAAACAACAAGCATCCTCAGCTGGCCCGGTGGTAGCCGACTCCCCGTGCTCCCTCTTCCTCCCTCCCTCCCTCCCTCCCCTCCTCTCTCTCTCGCTTCCTCTCTGTCTCTCTTTCTCTCTCCCTGGCCGGCTACGCTCATGATATCACCGCATCTCCTCCCTCAGCCGGCGCTAAGCTGTTGCCTCCAGCACAAATGACAACAATTTTTCAACCCCCCCCCAAAAATTTTAAATAATCGCCCTGCAGGAAACAATTTTCCAGGTTGTCAGAAGTTGCCCACATCCACGGGAGTGTCCATCGTTCACGGGATGGCCTCCTTCACTCCGCTGCTACCCGTAATACCCCCGTTTCTCTTTCTCTCCCCCCCCCCACCTACCTCTCACACTCCTCCTCCTCCCTCTCTCGAGCTGCCTTCTCTTCATCGGTCAGCATCAGCATCCGGGTTCCGTTTCTCCCTCCCCACCCCTCCTCTCTGGCTGTGTGTGTGTCTCTCTCTCTCTCTCTCTCCCTCTCTCTCGCCCCCACCCTTTTTTTTTTACTACAGCAAAGTTCCACGTTATGTGATTGGCTGCAACAACAGAACAATATCCAAGTAGGCATCAGGCACACTATAATGAAAAGAAATACAATAGATTAATACAAGCCACATGAATAGGAATATCATAGAAACACTTATATGCACATTTCCTGCATGGATAAACGCTGGATGTATCACGGATTCCTGTTGCTCACCAATAAGAAATGATCAAGTATAGGTGATAATAGATGAGTTAATGAATGTTAAATCACAGCTGCGTCGTGCCAACCTCGACATGTTGCTGCACGAGCCGCCGGTCTTCATGGGGCATTTAGGCAAGGGCGTCTTAGTGTTGAAAAGTGGTGGGGACATAGGGGCTCAGATTAGGGGTGTGAAGAGACACTTAGCTCGCCAGACATCATGATATGCAATATTAGTTACAGGAGAATGAAACGATCCTCAAACAGTGTTTTAAAGATATCCTCAATGCATCTGAGCGGGGGTCTGGGGGATATTTTGATCTTTAAACACTTCATTTCCTGCATTCTGGAGAACGTTTCTGAACCAACATATGGTGGAAATGTTTTTATTTATGTAAAATGAAACACAAAATTCAGGTGGCAAGTTACATTCCATAATACATAACAGAATCTAAGTCAGAGCATCTCTCGGGTATTCTGTGTTGCTTTCAGATCTGTTTCTCCTGTAGATCAACTTTTCTCAAGTAATATCATCCCTGCTGAGGCAACACAGCTAAGTTACGTTTTTTGGACAATGCACATTTGTTTCTTCTATATTTTAATTACATTACATGTTTTCTTAATGTTCAAATGAACCGTTCTAAAGGCATTTTCAGAAGGTTTTTTAAAAAAACACAACATATTTAAACAAGTGATGGGGACAAAATCAGCCATTTCAAAAAGTGGTGGGGACATGTCCCCAGCATCCCCAGTGTAAATGACACCTATGCATTGAGGCTACATTTTCAATGTGATTAAAACTGACTAATAATTTAAAGAAGCTTCACCTTGAGGGGACACAAGTCAGTAATGGTTATTCTCTCTTGTGCGACTTAATGATTGAGCTATGGCTCATGTACACTCACTGTCGTGGGTGCTTCTGTTGAGCACACATGTTTGTGCTTAAAATAAGTAGTAATTTTGGTTGAAATAAGTATGGAGTCACATTGATTTTTAGTTGGCTATGATTTCAACATTGTGTCAGTATTTCAGGGTTCAAAATGATGATGAATCAGACTCTGATGTTGATTCAGTGAAATCAGCGTTGACAACAGAATGTTGATTCAACAAAGTTTCAATAATGTTTGCTATCTGGGATGTCTTTCTCTTTCATGAACAACTGACAACAATAATGAAAATGATAAAATAGAAAATGCTCCACCCCCTAGCTGGTAAATGTGGCACATGCTGCTTTATATGTGCTTCATATTTCTTAAAATCCAATCAAAATGGAAAAAAAACCACTACACTGATGAGCAGCCGCTGTACACCACTGACCCCTGGGACAGATCATAATGTGCATCCCTGTATGCTGTGATTAAGGTTCACATTGTGATGCCCGTATGACGCTGACTCCCAAATCTTAATCCATTTTAATCTTAATCTCTTGATGCAGGCAGGTTAATGTAGCTCAGATTATGATGCCATGCATGAGTATGTAAATCCATGCCAGTGAGATTATCTCTAGATGGTTTTTCCACCCGAATGAGCAAAAATGACAGAAAAGTCGTTTGACATGATTTTGTGAAGCAGAAATGTATATTCTCTTCTTGTCCAGTGTTGCACATTCAAAACCTCCATCCACATTCAAACATATATTCAAAACTGTCATCAGCGTATTAATCAAAGACGTCTGGGGATGGTTTGATTTTTTACAGAATGAAACATGCTGTTGAAAATGTCTTTAAAATGTTTTCCACAAAGGAATCAGTCAAGTCATTGCAGCTGCTGATGTAAGTGCATTTCCTAACCATAGGGTGGTGCTATATATATATTTACTATGTAATAGCATCTTCTAGCCACAAGATGGTGATGTAGTGGTTTATGTTTAGAGTGATAAAACTGTGTGTAGCTTGTGTAGTAAAAATGATGCAACTTAAGTCGGTATTGTGATTGTCTGCTCTATCTGCTGCTTCATTCATAGCTTCACTAAGCTGCTGACCTCTGTGCTGCAGCTGTAACGCAAAGCAGGGCTGTTGCTTGGTATAGTGTAGTAGGCCTACTAGCTAATATAAAGATGATATATATGATATATATATATATATATATATATATATATATATATATATATATAGAAACTGAGCTCAATAACAGTAAAGGTGATTTTACATGTTTGGGTTAATGTTGATTCTGTGGATTAACGTCTTGCCCATTTTGAAATGCCTCACCAAATCAGATCAACATTTCCACATAGCCTATCTAAAGCCAAAAAAGCTTCAGTTTTAATTTTAAAAAAGGCTGTCAAAAAAGAATATTTAAAAAACAACATGGACAAGTTGATTCATCACAAAAAATAATTAATGATAAATCATGTTGTTGCAAATAAGGGAGTAATCAAATAGCAAAGTTCAAAGAAATTATATTAACATTGAACTGAAAAGGTGCATTCATTTGTTTTTCAGTCATTAGGCCTGCTCATAAGAGCTTTTAAAATGGCATGATAGCAACAAGACGGGGTCGATGGTAAAATATGTCTTTTGACTAAACTTTGTGAATTTATAAATAAATCAAACGCAAAAAAAAGTCAGGTGTCTGTCGCTGTCGCAGGATATAATAGGCACGACTGGCCTACCTGTCTAGGAAGAAAGATTAAAAACATATGTATATACTATAAAGAATGGCACATTGTAAGAGCTTCTATGATAAGCTATCAAGCAACACCTGAAGGAAACCAGGACAGGCTTGAGCTGCTCTTCCTCTTAATGCAGTAGTGGCTGCCTCCAAGAAAACACATTTAACGGATTGTGAAATCATCCTGCAACTGTCTTGAAATACATGAAAAAATAAGTTGTGTCTCAGCCTGTCACAGTCAGCTGAGATGGTTTCTACTTGCTTTCCCAACTTCAGTTCGATCCCCTTTGTTCAAATTTGAGTGTTCTGGCTCCTGTAATTGACAAAAATGGTGGCAACCTTGAAAAGTCCCTTCAGAAACTAATCCTATGATGTGTGATGTCACAGGTGCTGCTTTTCCAATTTCCTACACCCAGTGGTATCTACATTATCTAAGTGGCCTCTATTAAGGTGTAAGTTTACTTCAGCTGAAGTCATCTGAAACTTCCTCCGCCTCACCTGTCTGACATTGGAACTGGGGGGAGCTGCACCCAACAATTTTTGTTACTTTCTGAAACCAACAATCTAACAAGCACACCCACTTCATGCAGTGACCGGCCAGGTGTGCATTTCCTGTGGGGGACACGTCTTTACATTCCTCACGTGGACAGAGACACAAATCCAAATAAATGCTAATATAATGTGTGTCTTTTTCAGTTAATTGTTAAGATAATGAGATATGCTATTGGTTTCAAAACTGGCCAAGGGCCACAGTTTTTGGTCACAGTCAAAAGATATTATGGTTCAATGGGTTATATTTTCCCTGCAACCCTGTACGCAGGATAAGCAGTTGACGATGGATGGATGGAGGTTATATTTTTTCCCACTATAAGGCTACTTATTCTGTAGCTGAACTGTGAGTTCTTCTTAGACCTCCTCCTTACCTAAACAAGGGCAGAAACTGCAAATACCAGGAAGACTGTTTCTAATCTATTATGGTGGTATTTAGATGTTTTGTCATTTAATTTCAACCAAAGCAAACTAAAATGAATCTAACTATTAGCTGTCAAAATACAGTAGCAGTTTTAATTGAAATAGTAGTTGATACAACAGCTTGTGTGAGTGTGTGTACTAAAATGTTGCAATATTGCAGCTTGTAGCTGCATTGTTATGAAAAGTGTTACAATTTCCACCTGACGCCTGCCTCTCTCTCTCTCACACAGACACACACAGACACTGCTCCCTTACCCCTTTAGGCTTTTCTCTACAGAGTCAGGCAGGAATATTGTATCTCCTCCCCCCTCAGTGGAATCTCCCTCGAGCATTCAACTTCACGCCCTTCTGAGATGGACATGGTGTATCGGATGTCAAGAACAGAGTGCTGCAGTTTGTCACTGTGTTCACGTAACTGCAACACATGCTACTATGTACAGTATGAAGTGTTTTTGTGTGTGCAAATGAATGATTTATGGTATCATTTCTTGTGTTCAACCAATTGGCACCTTGCATGGCAACCTCTGCCATCAGTGTATGAAGGGATGAATGTGACAAGTGTTGTAGAGCGCTTTGCGTGGTCGGAAGACCAGAAAAAAATCTCTTTACTATTTGCCATTTATTCTTTCACATGTTGATACCAAGGGAACATTCCTGTTTACACAGGTCATATATGCCATGTACACACACGCACAGAGTTGCATCACATGTTTACACCTGGACTGTCTCAT